GGGGGGGGGGGGGGGGGGGGGGGGGGGGGGGGGGGGGCTAAGGAGTGGGAAATTAAAGGTTTCAGTCTTCAAGAAACCTTTTACCTTAGAAGGCTGATGGATTGTAGTAAAAATAGTAGCATTTACGATCAGTTTCCAGGGGATTCATGACCAAATGCTGTTTAAATGGAGGCAGTAAGGTGGATAGGGCAAAATTCAAAAGTAATTGAAAATTTCAATATATATCAATTTAATTTTCAAAAGCAACCACCTTCTGTGTCACAATAAATCTGATCATATTAAGTCTGAAGCACAACATAGGCAAAATTAAAGCAATCCTATAATATGTGTATAAATAATGTTGGTGCAATATTAATCAAACCCTTGGTACCTCTGAGGCTTGGTAGAAATTGGCAGTTTAGGGCATTTTTGCTTTAAGATCCTAATCCTAAACCCCAGGGAGTAAACCGCTGCACCAGTTATTGTCGTATTTTGATAATTGATATTACGAGTGGAGATATATTTACAATATTACTTTTAATGAGGAAGTGTTGCCAAAATTGGTTAAATATCCTGGTGAGCAATACAGGCCCTCAAGGCCTCTTGTTAACAGGTATATATTTTCAATTAATGAAGTGACATTTGATTGGATCCGGGTAATTCTTTCAGACAGATATTGTTGAAAGACTATAGTTCTGTATTCTGTAACAGATGTCTGATGGTAGCTGTTCGAAATGTTTACACGAGTGAACACAAATGTGATGTATGTTTAGGCAGTACATGTATTTTGTGTGAGGAAAGCACTAGAGAATAACATTGATAACTATCTGGTAATAGTATACCGGTAAGTAGTCTTTCTTACTTCCATGCTTCATTACCCCTGCTGTTGATACAGGTCTGATGGTGTATGTGTTATGTATATAGGTAGGTAAGACCCGGAATGTTTTCATTGGCAGTCCAAGTTTTGTCAACTTATAAAATTCAAAAACGGCAATTGTGATGCCCCACTATAAATGTGTTGCCAAACAATTCATTTATGTTTGTAAAAATATAAAAAAAAATCTTTTTCTGAAAGTACTTTTATTTAATATTTTACAAGATACATTAAGGTTGGTTATTCCAAAATATTTAAAATAAATTCTAGTTATTTGTCCTCTTTCAAGCTAACCATGCTTAGGCCATTATCTGGTCAGGTACTTTATCACCTTACTCATTCACTTGAGTAACCGGATTCCATCATATGACCTTTGACCTTGGCAGAGGGACAGACTACAGTGTATTTCACTTTCTGTGTCTACTCTAGATCTTACCTATATGTATAAGGTGTATGTTATGATTACTACACTCAAAAGACATAATAAACACGCACAAGCCCAGTCTTGTTGGTTTTATGACTGGTCGGGTAATTTGAATCTTTACCATGTGTTACGATAGTACCTAATTCCTCTTTAGCTCGTAGACCAACTCAGGGTTATCAGATACAATGGGCAATGAGATGTGTTTATTTTCAAAACACAAACCTCTTCTGCATACCAGTGTACAGATGTTTTGTGAAAAGGACCATAGGTAGTTAGCTACATGCTCAGATATAACGATGTACACAAACCAGGTGTCAAAAATGAGGCGAAAGCTCGTTAATAGATCAAGTTGGACGGAATTTCAGGTGAAAGATGAAGACAAGCCAACCGGAATTCTGCACGTCAAACAAGCTTCTCTGGATGATGGTAAATCAAAGAACCCGTTCAGCCGCTTCGCGAGGGATTCCTGGAGACAGTCTGTTGGAAGTCGTCCAGATATGTACAAATGGTTGGAAGCTCAGGAACGACAGCAGGACCAATATCCTCAGGTATAGCTTAGCTAGTTTAGAGTAGAGGTTATGTAACATAGCCAGACCCAGGTTTCATAAATGATCCTTGGCTTAATACCTTAGGAATCTTTATAAGAGTCATGGACAAATTTTTAAGTAAGGGGAATTTAAAGTTAAGGAATCCCTTTCAGTTTTGGAATATTTATGAACAGGAGTGGTATTTATAGAAAACTTCCTTATCATGTAAATGCATTTTTTATAGAGACATTTCATATCAAGAATGGAGAAATTAATCAATTATGAATAATGTAACTGCATGTACTGACAAGTGTGTTGTCTGGTACACAGACCTGTTAGGGGTGAGGTTGGTTACGCCACAATGTCGTCAACTATTACACAGTGTATGATAGGTATGTAGCTGAGCTGAAGTCTATCTTATTTGGATTGGTTCCAAAGATGTTATAAAATACTTATATTTTGTGCTTGATTTAGAGAAGAAAAAAAAAGAAATATTTCTTGTAAAAAGCATAGCACTGTTTAAAATGTCTGTTTCAATTTTCACATCTATAGATAGAAAGAATATGTTTTTTTTATTAAAATGTTGTTGTTTTTGCATGTTTACGATTTAAAGATGGAGCGACGAGAGCCTGTTGGTAGTGTCGGTATGGAAACTAAGGAAGACAACTCTGTTACCCAGCCTGTTATCAAACCAGCATTGACACCACTCACAAACGAGTAAGTTATTTAGTCAGACTTGAGGGTCTAGATCTCCCCTACCTCCATCCTTATTTGACCTGAGCTTTTGTTAAACTCTACAACCCCAAATAAATAATTCAACAAAAACGAACAACAGGGAATAGGGAGATCAAGTTAAACTCAATTTTCACAGGCATAGTTTGAAGCAATAGTTAATTTCCATAAAAATATAAACATAGAAGTAGTTATTATAATTATCCTGATTTATGACTGACCACATGTATTTCACTGTGGCTCCTGGTATACTCATTGAAAACCGGACCTGTGTATTCCAAATTTAACGTATTTGTTTTTGTTGTGTTCTGTTTATAGACCATTTTCTGTGAGCATGTGTGTACGTAAGTATTTTCTCTGTTCCAGACCTGTAGAGATTGTCCTGATCAACGACGGTGGCCCCCTTGGTATTCACGTGGTCCCAGAGTACAACGAATCTCAGAAGTGAGTAGTCTCGGTGATCCAGATACTTTGTTCCAGACTAAAAAGGCTACATAAATAGCATCCTTGATACTCCAGAGGTTACGCTCTCTGCACCCCTGGGATATGTCATAGCAAAACTGAAGGCACGAAGATAGCTGTTTGATTGGTTTCAGGTAAAAAAAGCCTGACCAATTGTAATTTTTACCGTTACATGACCACCAGATGTACATCAAAGAATCAAACTAGTCTCCTTGTCTCATCAACAAGGTGGTGCACACTGAGCCTTCAATTTTGCTATGACATATTCCAGGGGTTCAGAGAGCGTAAGTGAGCGTAACCCCTGAAGTTACGAGGATGCATTAATAGTAGAATGGCTGAAATAACATCAGGATAATTCAGAGGAAGCATACATTTTGTTAAAGTACTGGCTGTGTAGCAGCATAACCCTACTTGTGGTGGCTCAAATTTTATGGAATAATTAAGTTCTTACAGCTTTGGTAACAACAAGTTTAGCCCAACATACAATCTAGTTCTTATAACTTATTGGGATAAACCATATAGTGCATTTCTAAAGAGAAAAGAATGGCACATTTTGTATTGTTGTAATATTCAAACTAATTGGTACGAGAGGAAACAGAAAACAGTTTTAACTTCTCAGGTAAATAAATACAGAAGCATCTCTTTACTAATTAAAAATATATAAACTTAAATTAAAAAACTAGTGTCAAAATAAATCAACCTCCAAGTCCCCAGACATGTTTTCTGTTATTATATTTGTATTGTATTGACCTTTGCCCGGCCTTTCCAGGGAGTTAGGGTTGCTGGTACAGGGGATAGAGCCAGGTGGTAAAATATTTAAAGATGGCCGCCTCAGAGTGAATGACAGAATCATTAACATCAATGGAACAAGTTTACATGGAGTCAACTTTGCCAGGTTGGTATCTGTATTCCACAGCTGTATGAAGAAATATTGTTTGTTTGGAATTTGACGGCAATCAAAACCTTACTAGGTCATGTTAAGACCAGAAGGTGTTACATTTCCTGTGGACATCAGACCTGTCCAATGCTTATTATGTATTGAGATATTTCATACAATTTTTTCCGAAGTTTCTTTAAAAAACTCTTTTATCTACATCGTTGAAATCCAAGAATATACAAATCTTGTCTACGACCTTGGAAAATATCCTGACAAAATGGATGCTCTTTATGCTACACTGTGATACAGAGACTAAGATGATGTCTTTGATGAAGATCGAAAAAGTTGTACAGGTAATGTGACGGCAAAATTTGACGGGTTTTGAAATTGGATGCAGTTCCTCTGTAGTCTTTAAAGGACAGGTCTTGTGATTGGTCAGACTTTTATACCCTAACCCAATAAAATAATTTATCACAAGCCTTCGATTTTGTCATGACATATTGCAAGGGTGCAGAGAAGATATGTCGATCAAGAGCTGCTTTTCCTTGCAAATAGAACTTTATTCCTTGACTTCATGAATTTCAAGTGAAGTACGCTTTTTGCTTTAAGACATCCTCAATATCAAGAGGTTAAGCTCACTTTCGCTCTCTACACCCCTGGAAGATGTCGTAGCAAAATTCAAGGCTCAGTGTGCGCCACCTTGTTGATAAGACAAAAAGACTAGTTTGATCCTTTGATATACATCAAAAGAATCTCGCAGTCACGTAGTGGTAAAAATGTACAGGCTGTGAAGTCAGGCGTCTCGCCTTTGTTATCTTCAAAGGACAGGTATCAGCCTAGAGATTGGTCAGTTTTTTTTACCCGAGACCAATCAAACAGCTATCTTCGTGCTTATGACATATTCCAGGGGTGCAGAGAGCGAAAGTGAGCGTAACCCCTGGATATCGAGGATGGCTTTAAGATGATAGAAGCTTAACCAACTTAACCAGTGTTTGAGTTATTTGATGTTACTTAACCAGTGTGTTAGAGTTGTTTGATGTTACTTAACCAGTGTGTTAGAGTTATTTGATGTTACTTAACCAGTGTGTTAGAGTTATTTGATGTTACTTAACCAGTGTGTTAGAGTTATTTGATGTTACTTAACCAGTGTGTTAGAGTTGTTTGATGTTACTTAACCAGTGTGTTTGAGTTGTTTGATGTTACTTAACCATTAACCAAGCTACATGGAATTGAGGGGTTGTTGTTTACTCTGATGTGCACTATTGTAGGTGCAGCTCATAGTACTTATATAATTGACTGTTTTATGTGGAAAACATTACAAGAAAGGTATACAAGATGAAAGAAGGTACTGTTTAGCAGTTATATTTCGCTGGGGTTTTAATTTCGCTACATTTGCGCTTCGACTAATATCTGCAAATTCAAAACACCAGCGAAATTATCAAAGATGTTAACCACTTTTACAGACCTTATCACAACATGTTAAAAATACAAATAGCCCAACGTTGTTATGCAAGCTTAAATGAACTCAAATCAGATTATCACTGTTCAACTGGGCAGTCCATGTAAAAACAATACTTACATATAAGTGGCCACAACGTATTTATGTGTACACGGTAGGTGATTAATTGGTTACAGTTTACTCCTACAAAGGACATATACATTTAATTTTCTTTCTAGTGAAGTCACTGGCTGATGACGATGTTCGTGATCAGTATTTTCAAATGGTTTACTTGTATTTCGAGGTTTAACCCTTAAATGAAGACACTCAAAATACTTTGCATGACACATGGGATTCAGATTAACAGCGAAATTTAACCCTTGTGAATATTTACTGAATACGAAACTGCGAAATATTGACCCCGCCAATTTAAAGCGCTATTCAGTTCCCCCATTCGACAAACCTTCCTACATGCATTTATAAAAGTAATAAACCTAGACAGATCTGTTAAAAACAAATATCTTTATCCTTTTGTATTTAAACCTGCAAAATTAGATAAAAGATGACTGAAAATTTAAGTTTTTATCGTGATGCTTGAATTTGTAGTAAGTGCATTGTACATATTCAAAGATAAAACTATGATCTAGACTTCCCATTTGAATCTTTTATAGAGATAAGCTTGTAACATGCGGGCTAAAATTAAACATGTTTCAGGGCTTCCAACAGCGTAAGTCATCAGAAAAAATAACATTGGCGAGAGATAGGGCCCTGCCAGCTATATCAGTTTTCTGTGGAGGCTGCTTGTGAAGTTTACAACACAAATAGATTACTTACCTTATCATGTCCGACTCATTAAAGTGAACAAGGGGAGATAATTTACGTGTAGTTGTTGTGTTTTATCAGACAACTGTTTACTGATGAGTGGGGCTGTTGAGTGGTATGGGACAGCCTCTCCATATGTCCTGTGCTCTGGTAAACAAGTCAACTCAGTTAATCTTCTGATTAACTTAACTATCAGTTTGTTCAAAACTTTATCAAGTCAAGGTTCACACCAGCTTTAAGCATTCTTGTGCCAAAACTTTCGCCAAAGTTAATTTTCTGGGGCCACATTTTATTTGTATGAGCAAAGTCATTTACAAAGTGCTGCGTTCAAAACCTTAAGTTGGATGCTTCACTTTCGTATAGATATTTCTTTGTTAATTGTAGTTTGTATACAGCAACACTATTAATCTGGTGTTTGTTTAACAGGGCTCACACAAAGGAACATTTCTGTATCTCCATTTGATTTAATATCTCTTGCAATAACGTTTAATAACTAAAATCCTACTTGGAATATATTTTCAAAATATTTTGAATTCAAAACTAACTAAATGTTCAAGGGTTCAAAATGATCATCTTTACACTAGAGAAACAAACATATTTTTAAATGTTCAGGTGTGTTTCAAAAACGTTTTTGGATACATTTTTCTAACTACCTATTAAACACGCTAAGAAGTGGACAACTGGTGCAAGAATGATGTGATCATTTAAAGCAAAATAAGTTATACTTCTACTTCTACTTCTAAATGGTACTGACCAACTTCAACAATTTGAAGATAAAATGTCAGACGAGGAGTGAAACATGGAAAGAGATTGTTTTTAAAAAATAAGAGATGGTCTAATTTGCGTTTGAAAAGTGACGGTAGAGGGCTGATTTGAATAATTCCGTTGTGGGGCTTGAAATAATGTCAGGTGGGAGTTTATTCCACTCGGATATAGTTCGAGGGAAGAATGATGCCTTTTTGGTCTGGGTTTTTGAGTGGGGAATTTGATACGAAAACTGGTGGTTTGTTCGGGATTTTCTAACTGTAGGGATTAATCTGGTTTACAATGTTATGAAGCATGGTCAGACGAGCATCTCTACGTCTATCTGCTAGAGGGTGCAGCTTTAGGTGGTCCAACATTTCTGACACACTGGAGGTACGATGGTTGTACCTGGCTTATTGAGCACATAGTGCGCTGCCCTTCGCTGGACCATTTCCAACTTGTCAATGTTTGTTTGGGTGTGAGGGTCCCATACTGTACAGGCATACTCAAGTAATGGTCGAACTAATGATTTGTATGCCTGTACTTAGGCTGATGTTGAGCCAATTTTAAGATTTCGTCTTAAAAAGCCTAGCGTAGAATTTGCTTTTGGGCAGATAGTATTTATATGTGAATCCCATTTAAGGTCGGATGATAGTGTTACACCCAGATACTTGGCCTGGCTAAGATGTTCTAGTATGTGTCCATATAATGATGTAAAGTATAATTATGGACTATTGGAGTTTTGTTTTTAGTCACCGACAACACATTGCATTTGTTTGGGTGGAAGATCATTTTCCATGTATTTTCCAAGAGCGCTAGTTTGTCAAGATCATTTTGAAGTGTTTCAGCATCACTGTTTGACTTGATAACTAGATATGCAATAGTGTCATCTGCAAATAAACGAATGGTAGCATTTAGACCCACAGGGATATCGTTTATAAAGTAAAGAAATAAACTGGGTCCCAAAACTGACCGCTGGGGTACCCCGGAATGGACATCGACAAAATCAGATACAATAAGATGAGCGAATTATTTCTTTTTCAGACAATATACAGTTTATGATACCACACTATATATAACCTTCTTTGCGCAAGAGTTCCACAAGAAAAGTGTATAATATTGTGATTGGTACTATTATGCAATGGATACACTGATTAAAGAAAGTCTTAAGGGAGATAACTCTTATTGAACAAAAGTCAGGTTTAATATGCCAGATACATGTAGTATTATTATACATTTATATTATCACATGTGAAAGAAATTAAAATTATTATGTCAGTTGACCGAATTTTCAATTTGTGTGTATTTTTGTGTATCAAATTTCCTATTGAAATGTTTTGTTAATTACATGATAGCTGTATAGTACGGCATAACATATTAGGAACAGAGGTAAGAAATGATGGTATAATCAGGTATAAACTTGTATCATTTCAGAGCTCAAGAAATATTCCGCAAGGCTATGACCACATCAGAAATACAGTTGCTTGTGGTGAAGAAGAAACCTTCTTTACCAAAGAACCCTCCCCCTGTTGCCCCTAAACCTAGGAGCCACACACCTGTGAAGCCCTCTCCTCTTACTCTCCCCATTACAAACAAGCTGGATTTAGTGGACCAGTTATCTCCCCTTAGCCCAGAGATCACAAGTACTCCCACAGGATCTGTACAGGGCAATAGTCCGGACACGCAGGATGGGAAGTCTCCTCTCTCACAGCGTACCTTCAGGGAGCCTATAAGATCAGGCCATTATGTTAACCCTCTGTCCCCCATCCGTAAAGTACCGCCAGCCCCTCCAACTAGGAGTCCAAAGACCTCGTTATCAGCAAATCCTGAGATAACTGTTTCATCTATCAAGGCTCCAACCAATACTAAGAGGATTGGCAAGAAAATTGCCATTGAACTCACTAAAGGTCAGTGCAATTTACCTCATATACATTTCTTAAAATATCTCCATATTGAAAAAAAAAAGAAGATTTTTTGATATGAAATATCTTTGAAAAAAGATATAGCTATAATTGCAAGGGTGCAGATTCCTATGCTTTTAATGTTTATGGCATCAGTTATTTTGTTAAAGAGTATTGTTATTTACTATCAATAATCATACTGAATCAGAAACTGATTTTTTTTATTTCTGCTGACATAAATCAACAAAAGTTCTATGTGTTGCCAGTACCAAGTGCAGTATGTCTAAAAGCACATATTAAGCAGCTGTTAAATTTTGATAACTGACCTGTCACATGTTGTGTTTATCTTGTAGGTCCCCAGGGGCTGGGGTTCAGTGTGACGACTCGAGACAACCCTGCCGGTGGGGACTCGCCTATCTACATCAAAAACATACTCCCAAAGGGAGCAGCTATTACAGATGGGCGGCTCAAGGCTGGTGACAGGCTTTTAGAGGTATCAGTTCTCAGTGTTGGAGAATTCCATACACTTTCAATAAAATTGTAAAATGGGCGGATCATTTGTTACATGGACATTAATATAAATATCAAAAGTAAAAATGAGAGAGAGAGAGAGATATATAATTTTGCCTTAAATCTGCTCAAGACCCTGAAAAAGGGCTAAATTATCATCCACATTTCATCTAAATAAAATGGGGGATAATAATTTTTTGATGGCTAGTTCTCGAAATTTGTAGTTATACACCCTGGTTATAGTTCTCCTGTACATTTCTGAGATGAAGGGAAATAAAAATAATTAAAAAAAGGACTTTCACCAACTTTCAAGGTCATCGGGTTCAAGTTTGTTAAAATGCAACTTCTACGATCTTCTAAGATCCATGAGTCAGACAGTACCAGTAGTAATGATTAGCTTTTAGCTGATTGGGAGGAATGATGATAAAGTCTGTTTCAATATTGGTCCTACAGGTATAATATGTAAGGAAGCATGTGCCTGTAGCTGTTCTGTTTGTGTACAGGTGAATGGGGAGGACATGACCGGGAAGACCCAGTCTGAGGCAGTGGCGCGACTAAAAAGTTGTGACCCAGGCAGTCTTGTCCAAATTGTTGTGTCGAGGCAGGAATTAGAACAGGACGAGAGATTCCGTGTTCCTCGGAAACTGGTATGTATGTCTAGTAAAGGTGCCATTCAGGATCACATGGTATTTTTAGGCTCAGCTGATACAATGTTTCTGTGGGATAATGTAGTTGTGCAGCATCCGTCTATACGTCTTCATAACTTCCTTTAACAACTTCTGAGTACTTAAAGGTAATTATAAGGCCAAAAAATAATGTTTCTACCAAAGCAAGACCTAGAGTCAGGATATTTGTTGTACAGCTTGCTATGGAACAGGGCTATTTGGAATGTTCAAATAAGTTATTTTGACCAAGTATCAAGCTCACAGAGGTCAAATACTGGTATGTAAAAACTACTCTCTTTTTTCTGCTTGACCATGCATATATATCAAAACTATGTATATTTTCCTGAACCTTTTGGGGAAAAAAACATCAAGTGTTCAAAAAGATGAATTTATTTTGATCCACTGTATCTTTCTCAAGGTCATAGTTGCTAAAATGTTTAAAAGTAATCTGGGGGGAAAAAGAAAAAAGAAAAAGGTGACAGGTAGGTGATTAAGAATATGGATCTCTTGTTACAATTTGGTACATGGACAGAATGGGAAGCATGCTCCACTACATAGCACCTGCTGCAGCATGTTAGCTGCTTTGAAGGACGGCGTGATCTTAAAGCTTTGATCATCCAGTACCAGTAAAGGAGTAATATTTGAATTATTTAATTGGATTTTTATAAAATCTAATAAGTAATATGAATTTTGTTTATGTCTTGAATAAGTTCAAGTGAATTAGAATAGTTCAATAGAAGATATATTTAATTACATAAGCTTAAGTCCCTGCATAGTAGTAATGATTTTGACATAACATTTTGTATAGATATCTACTATTCAATTCTTTATTACATACATGTACTGCTTATAGACTAACACTGATTAATATTTAAAGAATTGAATTTTTCATAAAAAATCTTCATATAAATCTGTGGAGTCATCCATTATTTCCATTATTTCTTGATAACTTGCTGTAATTTGCTGTAATTTATATATGTAATATATAGGTACATCTTTATTAGATAAGAACTTTGTCAATTTTTCTATTGTTTTATTTGCTATTCTCTGTTGTTTACATTCACTTATCTCACATTTACCAACTGTCTGTTGAAGCCAAGAAGATGACAAGTTGCCCCTAAATTCGTGTGTCAAAGGTCAAATCTGATCTATGACACTTCCGTCTGTCCAGGATTCCAGTTGACGGCCACACCTCCTTGGCACTCACTGTGTTACTTGCCACACCCACTTGTGTTTATGACACGCCCCCTCCACAGTTTTGTGTGGGCACTAACCCTGCTGTTTACTGACCTACCTTATTTGCGTTTGTCACGGTAGATGTTTTATGTATAACTGCTATCTGTAGCAATATGCACGCTATATTTTGTGGTTGTAACATTATTCAGTATTGGTCTGAAATAGTTTTCATTTGCCTGAAGCTGTAGAGAATGTAGGTAGTATCTTTCATTTATTCTGTTTATTTTTTCATCAGAAATATTCCTTCAGTTGCTGAGTAGTGTATTTTCATTTTCTTCTTGTGGATTTCCTTTTGTTCATTTTCGTTTTATGCTCTTAGAATTAGTGGCCTAGTATAAAAGATTTAGATTAGAAGCCTTGAATTATGTTCAAGCCCTGGTTTATATTCAGCCAGTGACTACCGACTTCAAAAGCAAAACTTCTTTCTTTCTGCATGATAAAACAAGTTACTTCTGTTTTGAATGTTGTATTATTTTTACGACTTTAAAAAGGTTGTTTTTTGTACAAACCTTATCATTTGTATCGTGTTCCTTGAACCGCTCTCCTTGGTTGTTTCCCTTTACTTTCAAAACTTCTAATTTCCATTTGTTCTGTGTTATTTCTGCTTTTCATTGTAATCATGTCTTGAGTTAATGTTTTTTCCCTGTCTAAGTAAAGTTTTGTTTTTTCATCTTTCATTTGAAGTATGAACCATCAAGTTAAAAATCTTCATCCTCATTAGTTAAACTAAATTCACCATATATAACATTTTTAGTTCAATTTTTTTTTTATACATTTTTCATTTATTTTTCATATGCATCTATTTTCATATCAGTTATAATAAAACAAGTGGAGATTTGACTGTTCATTGTGTCAAAGTTTAATGAAGTTTATGTATGCCAGGATTATTTTCATTAAAATCAACATTAATTTTCATGAGTTTGATTATTGATAAATTTCAATTTAGAAATAAGCTTCCTTTTGCATGATGTGGGGTGATGTTTGCTTCACTGTGGCTAATGATAACAACTTAACCTACTTGTCAGGACTGTACTCTTCTACTAGCAGAGCTAGAAATAAGGCTAGCCCACTATAGTCTGAGACAGGTGAAATTGCCAGCTGGACTAGTTTTAAAAGCAGCTAGCCCGATTGACTAGTTATAAAATTGATATAACTTATCATCACGAATAATATTGGGATAGTGGAATTTGCAAACAGATTAGTTGAATTTGAAATTTTTAACTTGACTGACAAGTGGTTTTGAAAATAAATTTCTAGCCCTGACTAGTTTGACGTCGGGAGCTTGTACATTTTGTGATCTAGTTACCTGTAACCCGGTGCAGTTTCTGATGTTGGACTGTACTTCCACTGTAGCTAAAACATTTTGTGACCGAACAAGTCACCTGTTTAATAGTCAGTAATGAACAAATAACTGACTGTGAAGCTAGCAAGTTCTTTTTTTGTAAGATTAAGCTGCATGTTTTATTATTGCATCAGAATTGGAATTGTACACCCCTGACTTGTAAATTAGTGGATATGTATTTGTTGTATAAACCTTGTGTACATTAATAGTGCTCCTGTGTCGTAGATGTTGTGTAAAATGTTTGTTTAATATGTACAGCCAGACATGTTTACAATATACACAATTGTTGATTATAACATTCATAATTGTGTGTCCGAAGGGACTCCTGGCGTTCATTGTAATCATGTTTCACTGTCAAGTAGAACTTCATTATACTGAAATATATCATATGTACGAACTTGATTTTCATGAATCCTTGTTTTTGTGATTGTGTTTCGTAGAATTTGAAATCATGAAATACAAAGTAAATAACATTGTTTAGATACTTCATAGTAATATTGGAATATAGTAAAGATGTTCAAACTTGGAAATAAACCATCCTATTTAAAATGCGAGTATAATATATATTCGTAAATCTGTATAGTACTATACTTAACTTTTGCATACAGTATGACGGGAGATTTTCAACCGAGTCAAACTTTCACCCCTCGTCCATGAAATCAATTTTCGCCTAATGTTAATTTCGCCTCCACATTTAATTACTATGCATATTATGTTGCGTACTTATGCTCGCTGTATTGATAAATTTGCCCTCATCATAAAAGGCAAAAAAAAGGTGAACATTTCCCAGTTTGTTCAAGTATTAGTTGGACAATTATTTCGAATGGATTGAAAATTAAAATGCAAAAAAAAAATATGTTTGATAAATAAATTTTGTCACCATGAACATTTTCGCACTTACACTGTATTTATATTGAACTCACCAATATACAGATATTGAGGTTCTACTGTGTGCAGTGTTAACCAGGTTCAGTGTATGTATTAATGATCCTGTTGTAATGACTATGTACAGGGACTGATCTGCCAGTAATCTCACATCTTTATTTATTTATTTATTGTATTTTTATAAGTTAAGACATGTATATTTTTAAAAGGGTTCCTGGACTGATTTTCACAAATACAATGTACGGGTATAAAACATAAACAGATGAATAATTCTACACCAAAAATTTGAAGTTTCAATTGATGTATGTGTCGTTAAGTTTGAGGTTACATACAATCACACACTTTCCCTTGATAATTTGACCTCATAATAAGTTAATCCCAGGATTAAATAATCAATAATCTAATCCCTGAGCTAAACTTTGTCATAACACCTTACCTCTCCAACCCCTAAACCAATTTTTGCTCAAGATCATTTTTATAGGAATATTTAAAACTGAAAAATGAGGCCATTGCCACATTTTGCTGACTTCTTTAATGGGTGTTGCGTTTATACTATATAATACTAATGTAATGATCACTGGCCAGATCTCCCTGTACAAGTCATGTCTGAGGACCTGCAGTATCTGTTTATAATCAATATGTGTTGGTAAGTATTATCTGTGTATTGTAGTGAGGCTTAGAATACTTCATTTGTCACTGATCACATCATATAACATAATGCACTATATTTTTTACAGTAAAAGTGGTATTTATTACTGAAAATAAAAATTGCCTTTAAAATGGTACCTTTTATATATAGATATATAGATTCAAGTACAATGTAGAGTCATACAGTGTATATGTAACTGCACTGGTCTTAATTTGACTACTAATGTCATACAGAGCAATTTCATGCATAATTTCTTTTTTTGAAATCACACTTTGACAAAATATTTTCATTCTTTTCAAATAGTGTTAGATATCAAGATTTAGTTCAGTTTAATCAATTATAATGAGGCATACATTTATTCCATGTCATATGAAGTATTCAAGCCTAAAACATAGCTAGAACATTAACAACCATAGTTTTGTGTGACGACCTTGACCTTTGAACTCTCCCTGGACTCCTCTTGTCATCTTCTTGTGCGTTTGCAGGATAATGAGAAAGAAAACCAAAAACAAAATGTCTTGCAGCCTGCAGAAAAGTCAGGTGATGACGGCACACTGGTGGGAATGAGGAACAAGGAGGTCCTTACCCTTGACATTCCGCTCAAAGAATCAGGGTCAGCGGGGTTAGGGGTCAGTGTCAAGGGTAAGACCCAGACCACTGAGCATGGGCAAAGGGATCTGGGCATCTTCATCAAGGCTGTGATACATGGAGGGGCTGCTTCAAAGGTAAAAGAAATAAACTAATTCTTGTCATTAAGTTTCCGGTTGATGATTTTGTTTTTAGCTTAGAGGAATTAGGCTTTGAAGCAGAATAAATTTTCTTATGTTATTAAGCCTACTTTTCAGTGATATTTGTTTTTAGCTTAGAGGAATTAAGCTTTGCAGCTAATTCCATTTGTCTTGATTTGTTTCAACAATATTTGATCTGCAGTACAATTTTTTTTCACAGTGACCTTCCTAGATGATACAATGTACATGATCAATTAGTTTATTTTGTGATTAGAAATAATGTGCAAAATGATTAGAAATAATGTGCAAAACTTCCTGCTCTGCCTTTTCAATAAATATTGAAACCTGGCATAGGATACACCTTTCATAAGTATTTATGTATCTGATGTAAAGAATCATGGGTTTTGATACCGTTCAATGTGTGTGTTTGTTGACAGGATGGAAGGCTAATAATCAATGACCAACTGTTAGAAGTGAATGGTGATGTGTTACATGGACTATCTAACACTGAAGCTATGGAAACATTACGGAACTCTATGCAGAAAGACGGTCCTCTATTAGGGTATATACACCTTGTGATTGCACGGAGAATAGGGGCCCCCTCCCCGTCTCCCTATCAGGAGTACAGTACAGACTACATGTTATTTGATGAACAACGGACTAGTGGTGATGATAGTCAAGAAAGTAAAGTAGAAACAGAAAGTGATCGGACGTCAGGTGCTAAGGGAAGTAACTCTAAAGAAAGTAATAATAATATCAAGGATTATATAGATGGTGCTAAGGCGCGTAATTCTGCTTTGGAGCGGCTAATGAGCGGGGGTAATGGCCTGCGAAATGACTCTTACACACGCGCTACAAGTGAGCAAGATGTGGAAGGGGTTGGGCTCCGTAATGAGTCATACACACGGGCCACCAATGATAGTGCTAATATGTTTTTACCAGGAATGTCTCCTGCAGCTAATCACCAGCGGAGTGCCCCCACCCTCAGGTCCCGGGGGACGGAGGCAGTGATGATCGAGGATGACCCCGGCAGTAAAAAGCAGGTAAGATCAACAACCAACCAATGTCATAACAGTTAAGGTAATACCTAACAAGTACATGCACAGTACATACATCATTGCAAATAAGATTGTATTATGTAGCTTTTTGTCCTTGTAATGTTTCCATTTATGCATTCTGTTTTAGTAGGGACTTCAAAAACAATTACGAATTGCAAACTATTGTATAAATATACACTCTTTTAACCCAACCTCTCAGTTTCTTTGGTGACCAATTGTGATTGACTTTTATCTGTCATTGTGTATAAAAAGACATATTTAAAACTCCTCCTCAGAAACTGATGGTCAGGATCTGGTGAAACTTTGGGGGTAATCATCAGCCTTAATCTTTGGTGGGGTCAAAATCTATGCTCAAGAAGGGGCTGACCCATTAGGGGACTGGGGGCAGGCCATAAGGGCTTATAGAGGGTAGAACATTCAAAAGATATCTCCTCTGAAACTAACTGGTGGAATGTCACTATCATTGCATGAAATGATTCTTTAATCAGAATTGATACTCCAGAGTTGAAATCTACTGGTAAATCTAGACCAACATTTCATGTAATTATTTTAAGATGAATATATTCAAAAAGGGACTGAACTTCCCCACTGGAAAACAGTAACTAAGTATTGGAAACCTTTTTCTCTGGCATGACTATAGCTTTGATAAATCATTTTGAAAATAAAACCACTTTTAGGAGAAATAATAAAAATATAATTGACTACAGTGTTTTGAATATAAAAAAAAAATAGGTGGGGCTACTCTTCAGTTTGAAATACCATTGCTCTAACGGATTGAGCTACTTAAATTGGTCCACGGAAGTGTACAGCCCAACCATGCTACAGTTCTATCCAAACGGAACTTAAGGGAGGTAACTGTATATAGAAAAAACACAAAGCAGTGGGACAGGGACCCTTCAGTTGCCAATGTGTGTTCAGTAAAATAAAAGTAACAGTGACCATATTGTTGATTTTTATTGATAAATTTACCTAGAATTACGACATGAAGATGCGTCCACATTCAACACTGGGAATCCTAAGAGGGTCCCCTCCTCACTCCAACAGCAGCAGCTCCGAAGACTTGAGGGAACAGCCACCCAGCTGGCTACGAGGCCCAGACTGGAACCGTCATCCAAGTGCACCCGGTGATCGCCATCCAAGTACCACCAGTGAGGAACCCATGTGAGTAGTCTAAGCCGGACCATGACCCAGAACTATAAAAAGCCTGTTGAGATTTTGACAGTGCTTTAAAACCAAACCTCAGGTTATAAGCAACTTTGTGCAGGTACAATAAACATTATTCTGCCTCCTGCTGTAATCATTAATTGTAACTGATTTTTGAATCAAAACAAAAATAATTTGATTAGAATCATTGTAAGACCTGGTTATATCATTTATCATTTATCGTTTATCGGCAAAGGGGTTTGGCGATAAATTGAGGGAAGTGTATAAAGGAAACAAGAAAACAAGAAAAAGGGATATTGAAATATGCTGGTGTTAAACAAGGTGGCAAATAAAGCGAGGGGCATTATGTCAAGGTTTTACTGTACCTAAACTTTGTGTCTGTAGAATTTTTGATTGCAAAGCATGATTCAGTAATTTAGAATTACCTTAGCTTTGTCAATGCATTAATTATTGTTTAATTTTAAAACTATAGGCTCGAAAATCACTTAATCTGGAGTTAATTCACAATCCTTAACAAGTATTACAGCTATTTCAGAGTGTGGAATTGTTTTTGAAAAGTGATGAAATTATGTGACATTAAGAAAACAAACACATGTGTTCTTAAAAAGTGTGTAACTTTGGAAAAACTGAAAGATTTATTTTTGATTACTACAAAGTAAGAGATTTGCACTTTGTTAACCGCTAACTGGCTGGCTAGGCTATAGTAAATAAACTACAGAATCTAGAGGTTGCTGTTCCATCTTTATTATTCTTTGTGTTGACCTCCCTTTGATTGAGCGTTAGTGAATACTACTGGGTATCGTCAAAAAGTCATGTTACAATCTACTTACGACCCACGACCCACATCAGGATGTTTGTTCTAACCTTGACCAGTTTGGTCCTGTTTTTTCTTCGATTAATAGTTATTATATTGGAATATAAAAATGCACTTTTAATCTTAATTTATAATTGTACTGCTCACCATGTAAGTATGATCAATCTTGTTTAATTGTCCCTGGTTAACGAGACTCAATATTATTAATGTTGCAACAGATTTTAGCAGGTAATATTTTACTTTCACTCTCATAATTGCTGTGATATCAGGAGTCCCCTAGTGACAGAACCATTTGCACGGGATGCTATGGGACGACAGAGCATGTCTGAAAAAAGGCGCGGCCATCAGGACCCACGGGGAAGCGAGTATTACCAACGGGCCAAGACCTTGCGGGACAGTCAGAAAGGTATGTGGTGCAATTACTGTTTGTAGTGACACCTTATGTACATAACAGCTTTTTTTTTTAATCATTTCATCGGTTTGGAAAAATATTTGAATTTATTTTGCTTTTGTTGAAAATCATCCTTATAAAATAATCATAAAATTAATTAATAAGTAACATGACTAGAAATAAATGTACAAAATATTCATTGCAGTGATATCTGTTACTTACCTCTAAAACAGCTTAATCTGTCAAATTTAGCATCGTATATTAAGTAAGGACCATGTATTCTGTCTGTTGCTTCATTCCCAGATATATTCTACCATAGCAACCATGCTGTTCACATTACCATAGCAACTATGCTGGTCACATTACCATAGCAACTATGCTGGTCACATTACCAAAGCAACAATGCTGTTCACGTACAAAATTTTCCTTGACCATAGCAACCATGCTTATCATATTGCCAAAGCAACCATACTTATATAGGCTGATTCCATTACCATGGTTACCATGTATGCTGATTGCATTGTCACTCAAGTGTATGTGCATTCTGAATATAAGTCACATCTTTTATGTCCATGACGATTGTGCTGTGTTCGTTTTCAGATGAAAAGACAAAAAACCGTCGCTCAGCCTCCTTTCATGTGGCAGGTAGCAACCCCCCTTTATAGCTCCATTGTTTGTTGGCCGTTGAGTCTGTGGTCGGAGTTGACTCTGTCTAGTATATCCATTGGAGCATGGCCTCTTCAGATAGTTATATACTCCTCCTTTCTCTCACAGTACCACCACAAGTTGGCATTTTCTACTGACAAAAACAGGTGGATTTTGGTCAACTCAAATTATTGACAAGCATAGATCACTTTCGGTATTAAATTAACACAGAAAGTGAATTATGAACATGCTCTTGGTCCATATAAATTTGGGATGCAAGTTGTTTATTTCATAATATCAAATCCATGTGAATTTGAATTTGTCATTTCAAAAATAAAGATTTTATTTTTTTAAATGTACTGATTTGTAGTACTATAGATGACTTACATTTTGTATATCTACTTTCATGTAAAATCTACTTTCATGTAAATTGGATTTAGCATTGATTATGAATTCAACTTTCACATGAACAATTTTTAAACAAGTGAAATAGATTACGACATGATCCTGTTTTTGTCTGGTTTTGTCACAACTCTTGGTAATGTACATTAAGAATCCTCCAACAATACTTAATTACATACGCATTTTACTTAATTAATTTGATTTCAGGAAATTATGCTGAATTTTCTTAATACCGGGGTAGTTATATGACTTCTTTTGTTTATCATATAATTACATGATGATATCAACTTATATAGAAATGAAAGCAACAATTTTAGATGTCATGGGGATTAATATTTTTATTTAACATCTAACTTTTTGAAAACTTACATTTGATTCAGCAAAATTTCAATACTGATTAATCTGTATATTGTTTGTGTGATTGATTAAATCGTCATCAAATCATTGTTAATTTTTAATCCCTGCTTTATGTAATTTTTCTGTACTGATTATGACGTGGGAACATGCATTGTTTATGAAAACATTGCAATGGTAGAGGTGAATAAAATACCTCATAATGAAAATAAAGCAAATCACTAAAATGTCTACTGAAGTCTGAAGAAATTATCTGTAAATTTTGTTTTTAAAATCAATAATTGTTTGGCAATAACAAAAGTTCAAAGAAAACAGTTTTGAAATGGGGGGGGGGGATTTCAGTTTAAAATTTCTCAGTGATATCTGTGAGGTTTTGATATCAAATGTTGTATAATGTGATTCCTATCTCAATTGTTAACAATCAATTATAGTGTACTTTATAACTTAACTTCCTATTAATTTATCTATTTAATCTTTAATCAACATGCTTCTTTTAATTACAATTTCATAAAATTTAACATGTCAGTTAATGCTTATCATATAAATTCCAGAAATAAGATAGCTTAACACCATATATGGTAATGCTTTATATGTTTCTTCATATACTGTTATTTATTATTATTAATGAACAGAAAACTAAACATGGCTTCGACTGACCAATAACAACTAGTCAAAGATAATACTCAAGCTCAAACATATCTATATACCTTGTACAATGTATTAAATAAATACCCTCCATTTGATCATATTTTTTTCAGTAAATGAAACATGAATAAGTGTGGGGGGGGGGGGGGGGTTCTGTTGAAGGTGTGTAATAGATATAAAATGTCTAAAAGGTAAATTAAACTTAGAACTGCCAAATATATAAACAGACTATATTTCTTTTCAAACATTCTTTCATTGTTTTCTGTAACGTTTTTATTAGTCCTTCACCATTATTGCTGGAGAGGACTACTAGTTTGCACTCCATCTGTTGGTGCATCCCTTTTGCCAGGGGCATACAGGGCTTTATCAGGGGTTTTAGGGGAAGGGGAAATTTTCGGTACATAGTGTGAATATTGTACTTTACTAGTTGGAATGGGTCCTTTGACAGACCTGAAAAGTAACTCTGATTTAACCCTTACATATGTCATATAGTGATAAACTAGGTTATCTACAATTACCAAAATCTTTACTCAAGTACCTGTCAGGATGGCAGAGTGTTGAGTTCTAAAATCAGGTCCTTCGTCCATCTATATACAGAGTTATTGCCCTTTGTTTATTTTTAATACAGAAATTTGTGCGGAGGTCCATCTATATACAGAGTTATTGCCCTTTGTTTATTTCTAATGTAGAAGTTTGAACGGAGGTTGGAGACTGTGGATTTTACTTTTGACATTGTAATAAGACAAACTATAATAACTTACATATACGTTTCGGGTTTCAAGATATTTTACGAAATTTGTGATAAAATTTAATTTTGTTTTCTATTAGAAATGATATAAAAATAGTGAAATAAAACAAAAAAACTTGTATGTTTGGTATAATATTTAAACAAGTAATTTCAGTTAGCAAAATGCATTGTTATCTACTGTAATATGTTACTACCAATTCCTTATTTTCCATGTTTACAACTGACTAAATACTGTCATGCACTTGCTGCCTCCAAGTTGAATTCATTCCAAAGCAGGAAATGACAAGCTGGGTCAACCTTTTGCATCTTGTATATCTGAGCATGAACTTTTCATATGTTTCTTGTGTCAATGCAGCATTTCAGTTGACACTCTTGGAATGACCTCTTCTTGCAAGTGTATGAAACCTGGTACGATACGGTATTAATTCCAAACAAACACCACCGTAACATACACACGCCATTCCCAATTTTCAGACAATATTCATTTGTATTGTTGTATAAATAGAACCAAGACTTATTTCTTTTACTTGAAACATTTGCTGTAATTGTATTCATTGTAACTGATTTTTGAACCAAAATCAAAATAAGTTGATTAGAGTTATGGCAAGACCTTGTTATACTGCCACAATTTATCTGGAGAAATTTAGGCATTATAAAGGGGTTTGGCAATAAATTGAGGGAAGCTATAGAATATTTTCATAGTATTCACAGTATTTTCCTTCATTGGAAAGCTCGTAGGAGCTTGTTTCGAGATGCCTTAAATATCTAAAAAAAAATAATATATATATATAATAATAAAGAAAAAGACAAAAAAAGGACGTTGAAATATGTTGGCAGTAAGCTAGGTGGCAAATGGAATGAGCGGGATTATAATGAGGTTTTAGTAATATATAAATAAATGAGTATACATGTATATAAATAAGAAAGAAACTGTCTTCCCAATCTAGAAAAGGTTGTGACTGTGGTGTTGTTAATTAGAATCAATACCGTATCAAGCTGTATGACTATGGTATGGCAGTTCTTTATATTCACCTGGCCTAATTATGCATATGTACCTCACTTGCACTCTACCCTTCCCTATGTATCTAGGTCAAGGTCACCAGCGACGAGCTCCAGGTATGGTACGGGTCGGCTCAGCCGAGTCTCTCATCAGTCGCTCGAAACCTAACATTCCCCCTCTACAGCTGTATGGAAACACAGGGCGTATGTATCTGTACTATAAACACCATTATAGTGTTAATCTATAGAGATTACTTAATACACACGGAAATTTATGTGAAGTATACTGAACTGGGACCTTACATAACCTTATCCTTTATATATAGTCTGCTATTGTAATACTACATGTAATACATAACTCAGTTCAATTTGAAATGGGAAGTTTTACAGTTTTGATAAACAACTTTCAGGTACAATTAACATAGACAACATACATTCAGTGAATCGTCTTCAAAGTACTTCTGAGAAGTAGTTTGGTTTGGTTTAATTTTGTTAAATGTCCTATAAACAGCTAAGGTCATTTAAGGACGTTTCTGAGAAGTAAATACTTTATCACTATATTTTTGTGTATCAGATATCCCTATTCACATTTTTTTCTCCATTTTTACAAATCTTGAAGGCTTTTTTACTTGATTTCATGTATTCAAAAGAATTAAAAAAGCATATTGCATGTGGAATGATTTTGTGCAAACAGATATTGTGTTGTGATAATTTAAGGTCTTGAATAAACAGATTTTTAACGCATGAAGAAAAGAAAAAAAAACAGATTTGCTATGCTTTAAATAAAAAATTCTTTTGATATTCTGGAGTGAAATGATACGCCCTCGAAATATCAAAACTGTTTTTGAAATGATACAATATATTTGAAAACACATGTGAAATGTATCTATACATGTACATACACACACCTGTACCAATGTTTATAAAGCAATTAGGTCAATTTCTCACCTCACAGATTTACTTTTTTGAATATTTCAAGGAACTAGAGTTTATAGAGGTTTGTGGTAGTAAGAGATCCATCATCATGAAAATGTGATGTTACAACAATACTTTTACCTTTTATATTAAAATTCCATTTAAAAAAAATATTCCTTTTGAATTGTTCATTTCAACAATTTCCCTCATATTAAAACTGATGTTTTTTTGTCATGTAGCTGCCCAGAAATCAACGTCCAGCTCAAACTTAAAGCGATGCAGTTCCCTTGAGAATCTGACCATGGCTGGGCCAGGTGACCAGGACGATAGCGGAGAGATTGCCGACAGTGACGAGGACGATCCTAGTCAAGAGGAAGATACTCCTGTAGTCCCGCGGTCAATGATGGCAAGGGGACGGGGAACTAACGACAGCTTTAGGGCCGCAGTGGACAGGTCTTATGATCCTGTGGAACATTCCACTATGGAAACTCGTAAGTCTATAAAATGATAATAGGACATTCAAGATGGAAAGTCTTGTTTAAAATGATACTAGGATGATCCCAACGAAAACTCATAAATGTATAAAAAGATACTTGGACGATTGCGATGAAAACTCGTGAGTGTTAAAAATGATATTACGAAGATCACAATCGAAACTCGTAAGTGTATAAAATTATACTAGGGTGATCACGATGGTAACTCGTAAGTGTTAAAAATGATACTACGAAGATCGCAATCGAAACTCGTAAGTGTATAAAATTATACTAGAGTGATCACCATGGTAACTCGTAAGTGTTTAAAATGATACTACGAAGATCGCAATCGAAACTCGTAAGTGTATAAAATTATACTAGGGTGATCACCATGGTAACTCGTAAGGGTTAAAAATGATACTACGAAGATCGCAATCGAAACTTGTAAGTGTATAAAATTATACTATGAAGATCGCAATAGAAACTCCTAAGTGTTTTAAATTATATTAGGATGATCGCCATGGGAACTTGTAAGTGAATAAAATGATTCTACAACTATTATGGAAAGCTAAAGGTGTAGAAATCAAATCTTACAAAATCTACATGGGTACGAAATGTAACGTATAATTTGTATAGAAACCTGTCGGTGTACAAAACATGTCTTGGGAAAGTTCTCCTCCATGTTACTATCTCGTGAAAGTTACAGTTGATTAACTTGCTATTGTAAATTGAGGATGAACCGTTACTAGCTGGTTTATGTACATGTGTATTGTGTAGATTGAGGTAGAGTTGTGACAGCAGACATTAGACTGGTGTGACAGACTACTGTTATAGCCCTGTATACATGTGTAGCTGTAGATTGAGGTAGAGTTGTGACAGCAGACATTAGACTGGTGTGACAGACTACTGTTATAGCCCTGTATACATGTGTAGCTGTAGATCGAGGTAGAGTTGTGACAGCAGACATTAGACTGGAGTGACAGACACTATCGTTATAGCCCTGTATACATGTGTATTGTGTAGATTGAGGTAGAGTTGTGACAGCAGACATTAGACTGGAGTGACAGACACTATCGTTATAGCCCTGTATACATGTGTAGCTGTAGATTGAGGTAGTGTTGTGACAGCAGACATTAGACTGGTGTGACAGACTACTGTTATAGCCCTGTATACATGTGTAGCTGTAGATTGAGGTAGTGTTGTGACAGCAGACATTAGACTGGTGTGACAGACACTATCGTTATAGCCCTGTATACATGTGTATTGTGTAGCTTGAGGTAGAGTTGTGACAGCAGACATTAGACTGGTGTGACAGACACTATCCTTATAGCCCTGTATACATGTGTAGCTGTAGATAGTATGCCACGCTCTTGTGGTGTAGGAATTACATCTCCAGTGTATTTGGTGCAGTAGGATGTTCAAGTAACTAAGTCCTTTCAGTCCTTTTATTTTGCTGTGAACAGGGAGGGTCACCATTTATTTACATGTTAAGAAAAGTGTTCCTTTATAAATCAAACATTAACTTCAAACGAGAAAAGATTGTAGTGACTCTAACCACTACAGATTTTGCTATACCTTATTAAGGTACTTCTGATTTCCTGCCCTGACTCTTATTTCATAATAATCCAGCTAAGGTACATACAGCCTAGTTTTTTTAAGTCCTTTACTGGTGAAACTTGATTATTCAGCCATGTTTGTCCATCTACCTTGATGTTCATCTGGTATTCTTGTTAGCCCATCACTACTAAATCATGGTAAGGACGTCCCTTATGAGGTCTAATCAAGTCAAAGCAGAATTTTGCACAGGGTTTCATTTTATCTCCATGTGGGGGTATATTACCTCCTAAACTGGCTTCTTGCCCTCAAAATGTTAGAGGCTTGCTATATACATAAAAGGGTCTAAAATTGTGATTTAAACCTGATTTTGCCTAAAACATCCATGTCTTGCAAAAACACTGTTTGCATACAACTCTCTTATCCATAACTCCCAAACTTAAAATTATAAAAAAACGTCAAATATCAAATGATTGTTAGATATATCGTGACAGTGTGTCTCTTCACTTTCATTTCTGTACTATCTAGGGTCACTGCAATGGACCAACTGTCATTGATTGTAACATTTTAATTCTGGTCGAAGTTATAACACTTAAAAGGCTAAAACATATCTTTTTATGTCATTCCATAATTAAATAAATGTGTCATGACTAATAATAATATGCTGTTGTAAGGGACACATAATAATTGAGAATGCTTGTTTTACGGTTACGGTGTGTGCCTCAGACCTAGCCATTGTCTGAAGGTTTTACCTAGGAATGAAGAACCTTCTCACTGTTTGATAGTTGTACCTGTGTGTGCCTCAGACCTAGCCATTGTCTGTAGGTTTAACCTAGGAATGAAGAACCTTCTCACTGTTTGATAGTTGTACCTGTGTGTGCCAGTGTCTGTTACACTTTCGTTTCAATTAGCCTGCATTTTGACTCATAAGAAGGACACAGTTTTTGCCTTTATTTTCGTATGATATAAAATTTCATATGCAAAAAATACACATAAAATCAAGAGGTGATGTAAATAAAGAGGTTTGAGAGAGATGTTTACAAAGGTGTGCATGGGTATCTTTTTTCATGCAAACAAGACTTAGATATCACCTGGTTAACTGACCTTCCGTTGACCCCTACTGACCTTTAGATATGAACTTTTTCATTTACATATTTTGGGTAATTTGGATGCATGTTGATTTGGTATCTGGGCATCATGTCTTAAACGTTACAGAATCATTTCATTTGTATATGTATGTTGGATTTTTTAAAATATTTTATTTATTTGTTAGTTTTTTACATTAAATTGAACTTTTTGTATACATTGTATACATTATTTTCATGTGTGTGCGATGTTGACCGTCCTAATTAACAGCCAATATTACCATATTAAAACTGTTTATATATTTAATATATAGGGTACAATTGGGGTTAACAACGTTTAACCATATCGCTGCTTATTTCTGTTAACTATGATAATTTTAGATTTAGTTTCAAAGCTCAGTTTGATCTAGCTTCTCTGGCTGAATGAAAAGTTGAAAATATTTATCTGAATATATGTCTTTTAAAGCAAATAATAGCATGATATCTGGGCAAATGTTTGGGGGGAGGGGGGATAGGAATGACTTGTTCATAATTGTTTGTCAGTTTGTACAAACAATGCTAGCAAAATATTTTTGAATAAATTATTGAATACAAAATTATTTATTGGTAAGCTTAAATCTAAAGTTGAATATGAATTCTTAGCTGTTTCCTCCCCTCTGCTTTTGTTTATAGTATGGCTAGTATTTTGCTATTGGAAAAGAATTAAGTTGAATTTTTAATTGTTGAACGAATATCTACGATATTTATAGCTGCCAAAATGGAGAAGAAATGCACCTGTTCAGATTTATTTTGTATCATTAAGGTATAGGAGTTTAATAAACGAGTTTTCTACAGTGTTATAGAAAATTACATTGATACAGTCAAGTGACTAATTCGGTAATGTTTCCAGAAATAAGCACTGTATCTATGTATGTACTTAATCATATTATATACTCCTTGTTTTAATCAAGTAATCTTCGCAGTATCAAAGTGGTTGGGCCACAATTTGAGAAAACTATAATAAAAACCCTGACTGCAGTATGCTATTCAATCTGAAATTCCTGTATCAGAATCAGTATGAATCGGAAATAATAACATTTCGTAGGATTTGATTTTTCTGAATTTTAATGTTAAGGGTCTGAAATTGTGGTATCAAGATTCTCAATGTTTCAGTATGAATATAGATCTATGTTCTAATGAATGGTATTCATAATCTGTAATGTTAAAAACAATCACTGTTTGTTTAACATTGTACCACACTCCATGGCTTGATGATTATTTTCAAGTGGTTTGTAGATCAATTTTGAGTGTTAATTTGAAGGTATAGATCATTTTCATTCAAGGAAAAGTTAAACTTTTTCAGGTAAATCAGCTATTCGTAAAAACTTTATCTGGAGATGACATCAGTCAGGGGTTTAATAGAAGGGTTTGATACTGTGAATATTACATGTATTATATATATGCCAGTATAGCCACACCACTGATCCTCTTGTTTTGTAATTGTCTTTGACCACGCAGGGGAAGGTATGTATAGCAATAGTGAAGGCCACCCACACGACGGCGGACACACACTTCTGTCCCTACAAGGCAGTATGGGGTTCACATATTCGGGATATGGTACTCTCATTATAACCTACAGTGCACGGCGTCTGTCTGTCTGACGGTGTGTGTTGTAATGTGTCCATCTGTCTGTCCATCTGTCCTCCAAATTGGACACGCTGCTTTTGGACCAGAGTTTATATTGTAACGGCGGCAGCATCTTGTTGCAAACAATCTGAGCTGAAGTTGAAGTCAATGTCGTTTGTGAAGATCTGAATCTGTAAAAAAAAAAAAAAAATGAAATTCAATGAGCCATATATTTAAACGTCAACATAAAATTATGCATTTGTTTGAAAGAAATGTAATATATACATATAATATTTTTTGTTTTGACAAGTTAAATTACCATGGCTCGGAGAACAGAACAAAGATTTTTGGATATTATCAAAGTCATTGATTGGATGGTACTTTTGAACATCTAAAATCCATGATTCTGATTGGCTGGCTGGCGATGGTTGACAGATCAGATCTGTCCTAAGAGCATGACACGGACATCTGGTCAGATTGGATGTATACTGACAACAAGTTATGGTTGTTGACTTGTGCAAGTCTATAGACGTACAGTACAGCAGATATTGGACGATAGATCCTGTTGTACTGTGCTATAGGGACACAAGTCAACAGTTAATTGGCACAATAGAATTTGTCCATGCAAGTAGAAAATCTAACACAAATGTTTTCATATTTTAAAATATTTTTTCTGTTCTTTTAGTTAAACTAATTCTAACACAAATTAAAACAGATCTTGATGGGTTTTTTCAAGAATGAAATTTTCCTGACCCTGTTTGTTTTGAACGAATCTAATGAGAAAAGTAACTTTGATATTCTCTATATGTGTAACACAGAATGCCATATGGCCTGCTTGATGCTGATGTTGTGCCATTTATTTCACATGTTCATGAGAAATGCAAGATTGAAGATATCAAACAGTATTGCGGTATATAATACAGTATAACCAAGAAGCATACATATTTACATGTAGTTGTGAACACAATCATGCTTTGATTTATATATCCTAGCTAGTATATCATAGAAATGTAAATCGCATTTAATTTTAATAGGTTTTAAAGAAGTACTTTTATTCAAAATTAATAAACTTTTTTTTTGGTTCAGCCATGTATTTACCTGGTAGATAACTTACTTATACAAAAGAATGAAAAAGTTAATAAATTTGGGTAAAAGTATTTGTATATGACAGTAGCAGTATTTTGTCCTTACCTTTAATTTTGTTGAAATTACTTATCGCAAATCACATATTAATTAAATAAATATCAAACTTTAGAAAAAAGTTTTAAATCTCTTTAAAAAATCTTACAGATGTATTGAGGTGTTAAGTCATTTTGGACATTGATTGATTTAAAGATATATGGTTGACATTTTTAGTGTGTAATATACATTTTGTATAAGGCACAATAACAATTTCAGTTAATACAGAATGTATTATTTAGAACCATTTATTCCTTGCTTTCCTGTATTTATTTCATTTATCGGTAATAATAAACATTAATCTTGCATTTTATTCAGTGAAAATGGACTAATAACTTGTTTTCAGTATTGTGATTCAAAAGTACATGCACATCAGTAATAAAATAGTAAAACGTGCCATTTGATAATGAGGTCCACATAAGCAAGAATTGTTTTGTGATATCAGTCGATTCGGTCCGGATGCTGAGATACTCGATTTCACCAAGGATGCTGAATTAGATGTTGTATCGATGTAGAAGCCTGCATGATCTTTGTTGTGTCAGACAGTATTTCCCAGCACTAGACTCACAGACAGAGTCCTCTAGTACCATAGTCACACACAAATCTTCCTTTTTCATGATTTTAGATAATATGGTAAAGTCCATTTCTGAATTTAAGGATTTTTGATGTTCTGGGAAAGCATTAGAAAAACATTGTGTTCTGCTTTTAAGGATTTCAGATGTTATAGGAGAAAAGGCTCGCAGAAAAGTATTCTGCTGTGATTTTTAAGGATGTCAAATGTTTTAGAGAAAAGACACAGAAAAAATAATTCTCTAATTCTTTAGGTTAAACTTATGACACAGTATTCACATTGATCTCAGATCTTCTGTATTTTTTTCATAACGAAGAGTATTAATATTAAATAACAACCTCCAACAAATAGTATAGCTTACACATTATAACATATATATCAATTATTCCTTCTACTTTCACTTGATAAAAGAGTCCGTTTTGGTGGTTGGTATTTTCAAATTGCTATACAAGGCTTGAACTATACTCAAGGAAGACAATGAACAGTATAATTATAAAGGGGATAAGTTTGATTTAATCATTTAGAATCAATGCATGTATTAGCTGGTTATGGGCTAATTTTGACAGCCACCTTAATTGTAACGTCCTTCCTGGTACAATTCCTCTACCTGAAAACTTCTGTTGTTATCAACCAATTATGTGCATGTTTTCGATAATTAAATGGTGTTAGGTTCTGATTTGCATGATTCAACACTAAATTAAATGTTAAATACCCTTGTGTTTGAAATGTGGCCCATCCTGTTGTGTTTCCATTAATACTTTTAATAACACATACTGTAGACAATTTGTTATAATTTTGCATGTCTCTGTTGTGTTATAATTTGTTTGATTTGAAACTTAAACCGTGATATTGAGATTGTTTTGGGTCAACTTCTGCATGTAACATCTGACTCTGTAGTGTTAACAAACCGGTGTTGTATCATCTCTTATCCTCAATGTAAAACGAATTCATATTTTTTCATCTGCGAAGAAAAGAAACTTGTGATTCCTTTACGTGTTTGGAATGTGAAAGAAATTAAAATTTACAATGCAATTATCCTGAATGAAAATTTTCTCAAAGCAGTCACGCATAAGATATATTACTTGTTTCATTAATACAGAAATTCATTTTGCAGTATTTTCTTCATTATCATATTAATGATCATTGAAATACCTGAAGAATTTATTACATGACTCCAGCTTTTTGGAAACATCATATATATTAATTAAAAAAAAATATTAAAAAAAAACATTCCTAAAAGAGAAACATTATGATTTTTTTATCGTATGTCAAAAGAAAACAGAATCTGATTCCTGTAGAATTTGTCAGAGTGCTGTACTTAGCTCCATACAATTTTGATGTGTGTTGTTTTGTTTTTCTAGTGGAAGAGGAAAGTAGTGGCGAGATTTCGGGGCGGACAAACTCAGCGCGTTCGTCAGTCAGCAGTGATGCTACAAGTGATGACAAAAAGGGTGGCAGGCGGAAAAACAAAGATAAAAAGGGAGGGAATATCTTCAAGGGTATTTTCAGGTTAGGAACCATTATTTGTATCTAAAAATCTTAAGAGATAGAAAATAGAAATATAATGTGATCATTAATATATAATGATTGATCTTCAGTTTGATGGCGTATACGGTAGGATGAACACAGTTGGCAACAAACATATTCTATGGTGCGCGTTGGCCCTCCATAATAGAAGGGAGAGGTATACATATATAAAATAAGAAGTTGGTTACTGATTTTGAAATTAGATGAAGCTATCATGATTTCTTTGGTTACAGACTTGGCCGAAACAAAAAGTCTGCTGAAGAAAATGCAAAGACTGAGGTAGACAAGCAGGAGGAAGAAGCAGAGCGCCATTTTATCTCTCGGGACATGGGCAACAACAGGCAACATGATGCTGACGGGTAGTGTACCTTATATTTGATACAATACTGTCATCTCTGTTCCTTACCAGTTCTCAGACAGATACCTGTAGTTCTTCAGTTTTGCAATTAAACTAAACTGATCTAACAATATCAGCTTATTCAAATATTTCAAAAAAGTTCATTTTATTTTGAATAGAAGGTTTAATATGTATTCATGATCCTTACCTGATTTGAACAAAAGTTAAGGGAAAATAAGCAGTAATTGATTGAAAATATGGCACTTGGCAACAAAAAACACCCAAAAGTGCAAGAGGTTGGGGACGGTAGGGGGCAACATAGAGAATCTGGATCTATTTCTTTTTATGATGGTAAGTGATGGTAGCTGTTCATTAGTTGACAGTACAAGAGGCTAACAGCACAGGTGCTGGAGTATTATATAGTATATACACAGTATATTAGCATGTCCAGCACCTGTAGCCAACAGTGTATCTAAAATGCAATATTTCTTGCTTGTCTGTTTACTTGGCTAACATTGTTCTACTGCAGAATTATCCCATGGTATATGGTGAAGTTATTTATATGTCTTATACTTTTGTAGCAATATGGGTCAGCGATGGACCTCAGTACCAGACACACACCAGTCTTACCCTGTCTCACTCCCCCAGCAACCTTCTTCCACCTCCCTAGACAGTGATAACCACATCATCAGAGGGGCCACCCCCAACAACATGTCGCGTGCTGAATGGATCCAGCACCTGCGTGCTGAACACCAGCGAAAACACAAGGAGCGTCAGGGGCGGTATCCACTTGATGATCGTGAGGAGGGGTATGAGCGAGAACTACAGGAAACAGAGGAACAACTGGTACCTCCCATGTACAGGCAATACAGACCCAACTCAGTAAGAACAATAGTAGTGTAGCGACTTTGGCTCAACAATGGTTAAGGTGGGCGGGTGATGTTCGGGTGGGGGTGTATTTCGAGATGAAGTTGTGATTTTGAGGTGGTGGTGTTGGTTGGTGATGTGATTTTGAGATGAGGCTGTGATGTTGAGGTGATTTTATGACATGATGTCTATATCCCTCACCATTTTAGGGGGGGGGGGATATTTTGTTCAATGTGTTGTCCCATTCCGTCCTGATTAAGTGTCACTCTTATAAACTTCATTTATGTAAGGAGAACATTTAAGTCTTACAGAACTTTTATATAGATCTATAGTTTGTCACAGTGAATTTTGGACATAAAATGTAATACACTGTACTGTCAGTATTATCTCCGCGAGTATAAACTAAGTTGTAAGTAGAGACTGGCAGCTTGTATTAGGGACAGAGTTGAAAATGTTCATTCCTTATAATATGGCCAACCTGATGGTCACTGTTCTGTAATTTATCGTCTTTTTAACACCTTTGTCACTGAATGTTTTTATAGCTATTTCTTTTTAACCTTTTTTTTTAACTTTCAGTGTCTTTTTCGATTAAAACTCATTCGGGAGGATGGGAAAATATGTTTACATTTCAGTTTATATTTTAGAAAACATAACTTTGCACTAATTGACTTTTGTTAATATTTCTAGTACTTGAGATTAAAATTCATTATCAAAATGAAAGTAAACCCAAAGATGTGTCTTTTCATATGCATATTCAAGTTCACATTTATATTGAAGTTATCTTCTAATTATTTGGTTCCTATCTACAAAATAAGCAGTAAGAACTCAATACATGTATCAACATTAAAGGTAAACAAAACATGTTTTCATTTCGATTTTTGCACATTAAAGTGTTTGTATTTTAAAAATGTTAACTTTTGTAATTATTTTTTTTTCTTTTGTTTTCCTACTTGTGTATTTTACTATCCTTGATACTCCAGGAGTAACGCCTCACTTTTATTCACTGCACCCCTGGAATATGTCTCAGGCTCAGGCTTTGACAGGCTTTGAAGTCAGGTGTCACTCCTCTCTAATCTCCAAAGGACAGGTATCAGCCTAGCAATTGGTCAGGGTTTTTTTTAACCTGAGACCTATCAAATAGCTAGCTGTGTGTCTTCAATTTCGCTATGACATATTCCAGGGGTGCATAGAGGGAAAGTAAGCATAACTCCTGGAGTATCAAGGATGGTATTTTACTTTCAGGTGTTTTTTAATACACTAACCAACGAGTCACTAATATGTAGTTGTCAATTGCATAACATGTACATGTACCTATTCTATAAATAGTGATGTCACAGGCAATTTGAAATAATTGAAATAATTGAAATCATTGTAAACATTGATATACATGTAGTGTTAATTAAGTTCCTGTCTCCCTTAGCCCTGGCATTCATCAAACTTGTGAGGATTGGTTAAATTGATTAAATTATTATTATTTTATCACTAATTGTAATAAGTAATGGAGAACCACAGGCCACTGTAAAGCATCAGCTAGATTTATACCAGCTTCAGGTCATACCTTCAACCTGGCTGGTAAATACTTTGGTATATAGTAGCTGAACAATATACAACATAACAGAATAGATATAATCATTCTGACTTCTTAAATTCATTCATCAATCACCTTCATTTCATAAACAAATGATTTGAGAAGCTATGTCAGACATGGCTTTCTCTAACCCTGAAAAGGTGTATCCACACTTTTACCGGTGTGAGATATCCTTTTCTCCCATCCTTCATACCCTACCTTGAGGGTGTGACAAAGAAATCTCCTACCCGAGGGGAGATTTTTTGGGTTGTCTAACCCTCGGCAGAGCCTCGGGTTAGACAACCCAAAAAATCACCCCTCGGGTAGGAGATTTCTCTGTCACACCCTTACGGTAGGGGAAGTTTATATTAGTCTCACCCTAACAGTAGTCTGCCATGTTTGTAAATAAAATCACATGTGGGGTATGCATATCGTCATTCACTTTTGATGACGTCACAATTACTGATGACGCATTTGAATGACGTCACAATTGAACACATGCTAATCGGCACGAGGCTTCTCCCCCTAGGGGGTGACAAGCTGATCTTTCCTGGCTAAAATGGGAGACACACCTGTGAAGGGTGGGAGAAATGGATACCTCACACTGGGAAAAGTGTGGATACCCTATTTGTAACAATTGTATGATGTTGCATGAACAATGCATTGACCAGTAATGTCAACATTGAATTATAATATGAGAAAAGGTCAGCAGGTAAGAAAAGAAATCATTCGTCCCCTTTCGGGTGAGATGGTTGAGCTCCAACCCTTGGGAAAGATTCTTAAGTATTGGCAAGCCTCATGTTTTGAAACCTAAGAATCTTTTCCCAGCTGTTGTTGTTGAGCTCCTCTTATCTCACCCTGTGGCGGAGAAAGATTCTGTTCATCTTTTATGTTAAATATGGTGTCACAATGAAAAAGCAAAAACAAAACAAAAAACCATACTAACAGGTATTGTTGATACAGCAGCTAGCCAGACAATTGATGCTAAGGAGACAGGTACTACAAAAAGGGATAAAGATTGTGTGAACGTCACAGAAAAACACTACCACTCACTTGTTTGTATACTATATTTACCTACAATCTGTTGTGCTGTTTGATTTTCAGAGGCAAGCAGCAGAAGGGTACAAGTATGATGATCAGCCAAGGTCAACATCAAGTGAAGGTTATATGTATGAAGGTCAAGGTCATCCAAGGTCAAGGCCTAGTTCTAGACAACAATATGAGAGGTATGATTTATAAACACCATATCTAAGGTGTACAGTGATTTTAACTTAATGATGTGGAGTTTCTCAGTGATTCGAGGGGAATGTTTTACTGTTGGGTTTTCAGATAAATGAGCATTCACACCATAGGCTCACCTGCCCGACCATATTGGTTTTCTTCGGATTCCACACTTTCCTTCCACATTAAGACACTCCAAGCGCTAACATCCAGGCCAACAAGAGTGATTAATATAGGTTGAAATATCTTGTTTCAAAATAAGTTTATATATTGTCAAAACTAAAGGTAGTTTTATCTTGAAAGCAAGGTAAATGTTATTACAAACAGTTTTGCGGATATTTACAGTTAACATATTAACTATAAAGGTGTTTTATTTGTATTGACAGGCCACCACCTCAGCCCCACAGCTACACAGACTACATGTACCAGAGTGCCCCGCCCAACGTCTCCTACCAGCCCCCAGCACCTTGGCCCCACCCTGGCCAAGATAACCCTCACCTGCAGCATAATTACCCCCATGTCCGTCAGAACAGTGACTCTTACTCCGACCGAGATCAGTTCCCACGGCAGCCCCCATCTCGAAGTCATACCCCTATAGAACAATGGCATGACAACCACCTCAGTTACCATCGAAAACCGTTATACACATCGGCAGAAGTACACCCCACAGACAGTAATTATGGTTATAATGACGCAGTGTATACCTATAGAGAACCTGTATATCCGCCAGTGGCAGGCAAGAGACAAGTGCATACGATAACACAGCCAGGGTCGGCTAAAGTATGACCCCCAGTGTCCCTGGAAAGGGTTGTCCGCTGATATATAGAACACTTTCAGTGTCCAGAAATAGGGCCAAAATTTCACTCCAAAAAAGTGCTTTCTGCTATCGTTAAATTGCTCAGTTAGTGAGCAACAACAGTATAGCATGGACCCGAGTTTTATCATGTCGACCAAGTGTGTTCTCCACTTCCAATGCCAAGTACCTGTGCACCAATACAGCCCAGATTGGGTCCAAGTTTCGTCACAATAAGTGTGTTCTCCACATATGATCATTTCAACATTCGCCACGTATGTGACGTGGATACTTGTCGCCAGATTTTGCAGTACTATGTGACATGCCGTTGTGAGTACACAGTGTATACCAAGACCAAACGCGATGTTTAAGGTTGTGTACATGAGTTTACTATCTCACATGTAGCTTGGTAATCTGTAATCTAATAAAGTGGATCCTTTTCACAAGTTAGAATATTGTATGACAGATTGCCAATTTGTATAAATGCAAACATGAAAAAGTCAACACTGATGCCATAATTGCTGCAAATCTGAAATTTTGAACTATATTGGACTAAAGCCATGTTACATCACTAGTTAACCCAATTACACCTGAAGTCACATTTGAACCTTACCATATCAAGGACTGGGCAATTCCAGTTTATAAATTTAGGGGTGAATGAATTAATGCCACAGAAGTATGCTAGAAAAATGCCATGATCACCAAAAAATGGTTCTCCATACAGAATATCATGAGTCAATACTTTACTAATAAGAATACAATAATCAGCCATGATCACCAAAATATCCATGTACTGATTTTTTTTAGTATGATTGTGATTTCAGTTTTAGTATGTAGATGGCAGTGGTTATACATATACCAGACATGATCATTGTATACATTGTATTGAACTTAAATCAGTGTTCTTATTATAAGACAGAAACTTATACAGTGAAATCATGTAAAATATTTAAGAAAAAATGTCTTTTCATTTTGACAAGGCCCTCATTCAGTGAAATTGCATTTCAACAAGTACTTTAGAATAAGACATTTTTTGCAAATTGTGCTTCTGAAAATAGATCGGGAACAGTTAATTATCAGACCTTCATACAGTGTATTCCTGTCTCATATTGTAATTAGAGTAATTAACAAATTCTAAACTTTCAATTAATTTATTTTCCTGACTCCGTCTAGCATAGGGATATGTAATAGGTTATCAAGGCTAACCGATTATATTTTTTTATTACTCAAGAATCATTTGATCGGTTTTCGTGATAATTAACTTATTTTGTTTATCTCTGAAGACATAATCAAGGTGAAATTGTTTTACTGAAACAAACATTTGAACAAGATCAACTTCTGTCCCTATGAAGATTTCACATTGTAAGGGATGTAGCTCTGCAAGAAATTTTGAGAATAGGTTTTTTTCAGAACAAGTTAGTGATAAATTGAATATATATATTTTTGTAAATATAGAAAAGAAAAACTAAACAGTTGAAAAAAAGTTCACATTTAGTTCTAATTTTCTTTAAATGTTAATGAAATTCAAACATGCCCCAAAGGTAAAATAGATTTTTTCTTTCAACAGTGTTAAAATCTAGATAGCCAACCTTTTGTCTATTTATTTTCTGTAATAAGATTTTTAAAAAACTGTCTATAAAACCTTTTTGTTATTTTAGAGGTAAACAAAATAAGGTTTTACTCAAATGAAAAATTGATCACATTTTTTTTGTGAATAATGAAAAAGATTCCATATCCGAGTTGTACTTTTGAGAGTGGTCCTCTTCAAAAGACAGTAATTTTTCATAAAGGAATCAAATGAAATGCAATATATATATCGGGTAATGTTCTTTTATTTTTTGTGTATGTGTGGTCCATGTATGTCAAGAAAAACCAGTGTCTTTCAGTTGTACACTTTGTAAATGTTTTTTGTGTTTAATGAGACAGAACACAGTAATATTAATGTTGTACATGTACAAAGAATATAGTAGCATAGTTGTTATGTAGCTGATGGTACCAATGTACTTATGTGTTTGTATAGTCTTGAATGTGTCATTGTATACTGCACTGTTGTTCAATTAACATGGTTCATACTTGTGTTATATACTTTCCCCTTCTAATTTCACAGGACCAGTGTATCTTGTCTCGTGGAAAATCATGTAATGTTTTCTTGTGTATTTGTCTCTATATTTTGAATTGAAACTCTTAACATTAAATTTTAATATTTTAACAAAAATGTCTTATATGAATTAGGGTAGAACTACTTGATATACTATTTATGATTATAACCAAGTAATTGAGTAGAGTCAATATCAGATACAGATTTAATACATCTACAGGTGTGTATAAATGTTAATAATATTTAAAATCTGGGTCCAATGTATGTTCAATATAGCAATTTGATCCAGTTTCTTAACAACTATCATAATCTTTCCACTAGACGTTCAGATGTAACACCATTTCTGCATTTCTTGCTGTTGATGCGTTCATTTTCATAAAACTGTATTTTTGGCGATATATTTGATGATAATTTAAGAGAATTGTACAAGGTGTACTTTCATTAAAGGGAAAGTTGTCAAAGGGGAGATAATAAACGCATGCACATGTATAATGTACAAGACAGAATATATCCTTAACTAACATAAACCACAGGTATTATGTGTAAAACTATTGACTAAATCAGTGAAAGTTCCTGTGTATGTGGTATTTAAATTCAGCAACTGTTTGGTAATTTATGTATATAGATTATGTGAATGTTTCAAGGTGCTATAATCGTTTGCTACAGAAGTATAATTGTGAGGGTTGATCCGTTAATCATGGCCACATATTTGTTTTATCTGTTTCGCTAGCTCTGTACCGTCAAGTAGATGTATCACGGTAGGATAATGGTTTTATTGACCATTTCTTGATTTCAATTTGTTAAGAAACGAATAAGTAGGAAATTTGTCAAAATTAATTACTAGAGATTTTCAATGAAGTGAATTAAATTGGTGAAGTTACAAGATTTTAGTGACATGGTGTAAACAACTGTTGAGAAAAGCACCTTCATTCAGTATTATTCTATACACATTTCCACATGGAACAAACATATAAGTGCCAGTAAATATTTTGATATGATGAGATTTCATCAGTCAGAAATAACGGTTTTGAATTTTATTTTTTATGACGACGTCATTTGCCAGGAAATCCTGTTCAATATAATTCACTTTTGACACGGTTGTGAAAATAATATTATTTTACTTGTCATGTTTTATTCGTTTTATCTTCTTACAATGTAATTTTGTGGAGTATTTTTATTCAAACCTAAATGAAATTAAGACTATAGACGTGTGTTTAAGAATTAAATAACGTGTCCTTCCTGTAAGTTATATGTAAGCCATAATGTGAGTTCAATGAAATCCCAGTGTTGATAATAGGCTCGTTAATTGCCAGTGTTGGTAATTAGTCATACTTTATTAAATTAACTTCATACAATGTACCTGTACACCTTAGAATGGGCAAATTGATTATGGTTTAATATAACAAAGCTGACTACATCATAATTACTTTTTTTAAATAGATAAAATATAAGATACAGTATAATCCTGCTTTTCTCCTTGCTACTGGAGATTAATGTTTTGAGAATTGACTTCTGTTCCTTATTCGGGTTATAATTGAAAGTTGTATTGCCTAAACGTGGCAAGAACATTTAAATAACCCAACGGTAATATCAGAATATTGAGTTGTGTTTGCTAGCTCTAGCCTGTTTGAATTAATTAAATGTCTAAAAGATAATTCAGTGAATCTCCTGGTAATGGTTCTGGAGTATCTGACTGTGTCTTCAAATTTATATTTCAATACAACTGTATTAATGAACAACATAACTTCGATAACTCATTTCTTTTATATTCAGAAAATATTTTATTAATTATGAACTAAATAATGTGTTATTTTATTTATCTCCAAACATGACAATAATGTTCAAGAGTTCAAGAATGCATGTCTTTAGAAATTTAACAGAGCAAGGGAGATAACTTAGTATTGTAGGCAAAGAAATATACCATGATACCTGTTTATCTTTAACAAAAGGTTGAAAACAAAGGAACTATCAGGTGGAAATAGTTTGAAGTTGTAAGTTCACCAATTTTTATTTTTTTTAAATCAAACATGCACAAATATAATTCATAAGTTATCTCCCTTTACAGTGTTAAATTATCTTTGAAAGCAACATTTTTAGACACTCATGTGAATGTGATGAATTAAAAAAATTCAAAAACATTTTGCCATTTTTGAAGATAAACAAAATAAGGTGTGTCTGTCACATTTAGGGTAATTTTTGATATGTGATATGTTGTTTGTCCTTGTAAACATTTTTTCGGCTATATGAACACAGATCTTTAAAATCTGCAGCAACTTTTGATGGCAAAAATGCGCAGAAAAGGCTGTAGCAGTCGTATAAAGGTAATACCACATCCAAATTTTAATCAGACAAACAAGTCTTGCTTTTTCTTACTTTTGTGAAGTTATTTGATCCACTTCATAGACAAGGCACTGGTATTGATATTGTGAATTTTGATGATAATGATACTGTAAGACATCCACAGGAAATTGTACAGAGCCTTCTGCTAACATATCTACATGTACATAAGTTGCCAGGAATATATGGAGACCATGAAATATATATTTACAGTATGCATGTTTAATATTGTAATACAATTTTGACAGTGCTAGAATTGACATTAGCCAAAGAATTTGCCTTTTCATATTCATAACATTCCATTGACCTGTACACTTTTTCTGTTATAAGTTTTTCTTCAATCTTTCATCTAATTTAAGTAATTTTGAAGATATTGTCTACTTTCACTATTTTTAATTTGCCTTGAGTGCTGGGATGAGATGCATCAATGAATCTTATTACTTTAGCCAAGATACCAGGCTTTGTTAAACAGCTTGAAAATACTTGTTTTGAAGCTGAAAATTCGCTTTTGACAGATTTTTATATGAAAAATTTATCTTAAGGCTGTATGCTATCTTACATGCTGTAACTATAGAGTTATCTCCTTTAAATAGTCTTCATTGTCATTTTGTTTATGATTCAGCCTTATTTGGCAGTTATCAAGGTGTGCATTCGTATATTCTTTTCAATTTTTTCAGTAAGTAATTTTGAATATCAAATCTAAAATTATAAAATAATTGCAAATCATCAGTTTTTAATATAGAACTCTTTTGGAAATGAGAGAAATAAAGTAGTAACTTAAATCATTCACCCCTGAAGACACATTTGAACTCTTCTAATTCAAAGGTTGGAATAGTTCATTATGAAATTTCAGGGGTGAATGACTTAAATAAGCTGAGGCTAAAATATAAAGTTATTCAGAACAGATAAGTCAAGTCTTCCACTTGTTAGCAAACAGTAGTGCATTTGATTATAATCTTTTTCTACACAGATGAAATTATGTAAATAGGAATTTTAGAAATGATTTTCATTGAAGTCTTTAGAAATGGAGTAATTTCGGTGAACAATTTGTGTATTGTACAATAACGAGATTTTTTTCTTTCTTTATAAATGTTTCAATAAGAAGACTTTGAGAAAAGCTTTTGCTCTTAAAATGGCGACCACATATATATATTAAAAGTCTTTTGTCAGAAATTGCCCCTTTTACATGTTCAATTTTCTTAGGGTCAAAAATTGGAAGATGTGAATCCTTAAATATTTGATAGATTTGTATTTTAGAGCCGGTGACACAACTTATGGAGAATTTAATTTGTTAGTAACAATGTGAACAACTATGAAAACTTTACAAAAAAATGCAACCTCGAGCTCAATAAAATGGCCAGTAAGATAGATTAGAACCTAGATAGTAATCTTCACACATCAGTTTCAAGAAAAGAAAGATTGAAATAGAAAATGAAACATTAACTTGTCTTATGTACAGATGTCTTAAATCTATTAAATTATAATTCTATCTTTAAAAGTTCTGAAATAAAATAATTTTAGGGTACATGGTACTTTACTTGTTCTTTATAGATAAAGATTAAGGAGCATGTCCTATCGCTAGAATGAAGCTTTTCATATATAATTTGATGATTTAATGACCATATTTTAATATAAACAAATTGTTGTGACTAATTAACACTTGTGCCTTTTGTTGACACCTTGCCCACTAAATTATGCAAACTCAAAGTTACGTCCAAGTTCTAATTATTTTTAAATAATTCTATTTTCCATGTTCGTTAAAATCAGTTAAAGTTCCAATTTAAATTGTAAAAAGAATGCTCTCTGAGGGCATGTTTCTTTTATTTTTACCTGTGATCTGTAGACCTTTAAATGTATTTTAACAGTGATACTTTTTACCTGTGTAAACCTGTTCTGAGTAACGCTGTTGTATTGTTAACGGTTGTGAATTGATGAGTTGTGTTGCCTTGATAGTTTATAGAAGTTTATTTCTTGTTCTCCAAGCTTCCCTGACTATACAGTTCTTGTTGTTGTTCCAATGTTTCACAGAAAGATTCATCTTCCTGTTTTATCATTTTATAAGATTGAGTTATATACCCTAGTAAGTCACTAGTCATTATAGGTGTTATCAGGAGTTTATGTCCAGTCATGATCAGCTACCACTAACCATTTATCATAATCGTGAATCTGTCTGGGTGTAGCTTGTTACAAAAAAGAATGGATACTGGACCAAAATGATTATCATATAAACCTGTACTAGAACCTATTTACTACTCATAAGTAACGTGTATATTTAATTCACACAACAGAAATAAAATTTTGAATTTTCACAGTTCATGTTATGAACATATGGATAAAAATATAGAGTAGGTGAAGAAAGGTTGTAGAAATCTGTAGCCTGCTTCAGTTAACCTTCAGGGTAACATTGCTGAAAAATCTTCTTCCTGAATATAAATACTTCATTATGTATCCCAAAATATAGCAAATGCAGTTTTATGAGAAACAAAGTTTTGATACGGTCCTCAATTAAGTTCCTATAGCATGCTGAAGTTCCTAAAGTTGAACTTTCAGCTGACTTGCAGTTCCTGAAGAGGTACTTTTAACGAGATAGATGTTCTTACAGTAGGTCATTCAGCGGTATAACAAGGTTGATTATAGTCTTGCAAAGAAAACCCTGTAGTCAAGTAACATGCTTGAGGAACGTAGAGTAGATCATGGACCCTACATCATGTTAAAAGCTATTAGCATTCTCCCATCTGCCAAGCACATTTACCTCAATCTAAACATGTCATATGATATACTTCCATAGCTTGTGATCCCATCTTCTCCTTGAGATGAATAAAATAGGGACCAATATTTCAATGAGGGTGTGTTTTTCCACAAGTCAGGGAGCGGTCATTAAACCATGCTGTTACAACGATGAACAACATTGTTTTCAATGCGGAGGTTTTTAACGTTCCAGTACTTAATATTTTCAGTTTTACTTCCTGATGCAATTTTAATCTTTATATTAACACAGTAAAGAGAATTATATTCATCGTCAGCATATCTTATATCATTAACACTGGGTTTTCCTGTCGTAGAAGCCCTTATCATTGACTTTTAAAAGTTCGGTGACGAGCAGATGTTGATACTATACAGAGTGTCTGTCATTGTGACTCATTTTATATTTTTGTATAGCAATATGGAAGTTGGAATAAACTTCAGTTACAAACTTTAAGATGTGTTTGTCATTTATATTATAAACTGCTGCCTTGTGTTATCTTTGATAACATTAGAAGAACCAGAAGTGGAAATATGTCATCGTAATTTTACAGTAGAATACGAAGACATACATTTGTACTGTATTTGGAGAGCATGGTGACTGACGGAGGCCAATGTTGAATGCTTACAGCATTATATTTACATTCATACATTTGTAGTATAAACAAGAATACCGCGGGCGGAACAATATAAGCCCGTCGATTGCCATCTACTGTCATTTACTTTCTTCCATTGAAATAAGATCTGCATCATTCTTAGAGTGGTTAGCTGACATGCTATAACCCTTTCACCCCTAAGTAACTTTAGTTAACTCTTCCATGCATTGATCTGGATGAGTCCATTATGGTCTATAGTGGTGAAAGGGTTAGACAAGAGGCCCAGAGGTCCTGTATCGCTCACCTGGATATCTAAGCAATCATGGCAAAATATTTTCCAAATAAGATCAAAGGGAATATGCCAGACCCCATGGCCATGGCCGATCCTTGTAGCATATCTGTATTAAATTTTTCATGCCCAGCAATTTTATGTATGGTTATGGGGTTGGGATCTCAAATGTTTCCAAGCTGTGACTCAGAAACTAGGTCCCTAGGGTTGTGGCCAGACCCCAGGATCAATTCTAATATCATGACTGCATTCGTCTCTTTATGCCCAACAATTGTATATATAGTTTTGGGGTGAGGATCTTAACCATTTCGCAGTTATGACCCCGGGGTTAAGTCTCCAAGGGTGGGGTAGTCCCAAAGGCCATCCTGGAAGCATATGTGCATTCATCTCTTTATACTCAGCAATTGTATATATGGTTATAGGGTGGTCAACTGTTTCCAAGCTGTGACTTCGAAACTAGGTCCCACCATTGGTACAATTTTGAATCTCCACCACATAGGGATGCTTCCAGTCAAATATGGTTGATATCCATCTCTTAGTTCCAGAGAAGAAGTCGCTTAAAGCAATAAAGACAAATAACCCTTTTTGGCCCCGCCCCTCAGCCCCCTTGAGGGTCAGCCACACCATTTGTACAATTTTGAATCCCTCCCTCAATGAATGCTTCTGACCAAATATGATTGATATCCAGTGCACAGTTCTACAGAAGAAGTCGTTTGTAGCAATATAGCCAAATTGGCCCCGCCCCTCAGCCCCTTGGGGGTCAGCCCAACCATTTGTACAATTTGGAATCTCCACCACCTAGGGATGTTTCCTGTCAAATATGGTTGATATCCATCTCTTAGTTCCAGAAGAGAAATTGCTTAAAGCAATATAGCCAAATTGCCCCCTTTTTGCCCGCCCCTCAGCCCCACCATTTGTACAATTTTGAATCCCCACCACCTAGGGATGCTTCCAGTCAAATTTAGTTAAATTCCAATCAGTGGTTAAGAAGAAGAAGTTGTTTAAAGAAATTGTTGACCGACGAACGACGGACGCCACGGTATGGCATAAGCTCACCTAGTGAGCTACAAAATGTAGAGAAAATCTCTGGACAAAAAATCAAATACTGAAATGAACAAAGGGCAACAACTTTTGCAAAAATTGTCTTATCGAAATTCTTTTAAAGGAGGCGCAACTTCATATCATGATTATAATGTATACCAAGCTTCAAAGATATCCGTTGAAAAATGTAGGAGGAGATTGCCAGACAAAATTCAAATACTGAAATAAACAAAGGGCAATAACTTTTGCAAAAAAAATTTGAATCAAAATTCTTTTCATGGAAACAACAACATATCATGAATATTTAGACTACTAAGTTTCAAAGAAATCCGTCAAAAAATGTAGGAAATCTCCAGACAAAAAATCAAATACTGAAATGAACAAAGGGCAATAACTTTTGGCAAAATAGTTGAATCAAAATTCTTTTAAGGGTGACACAACTTCATATCATGATTATAATGTATACCAAGTTTCAAAGAGATCGGTCGAAAAATGTAGGAGGAGATTGCCAGACAAACAAAAGTTTACGCCGGACGGACAACCCCATACCATAATACATGGTTTGCACAACGGACAGTGTTAGGTAACAGGAGTCGTACTGCAATCTGTCCAGAATTATATACGATTTGTAGAGACAGTTACTACTATTGTTGAGTATAAGAGTCAATCGCAACAGGTACGGGATAAGTTGAGTATTATTATTAGGTAACGTCTACCGGTTTCGCCTAAGAATTATTGAGCATCTGGCTGCTGAAAGCTTGGGAAAATATGTTATGCTTCAGATATTCACACATTTAAACTTGGAGAGATATTTCACATGAAAAGATTGGAATTTGGTCTTGGTTTTGGTGTACAGTACTCAGATTTGATACAAAACCCTTAACTGAGGGCTTGGCTTATTCAATTATCCTTCCTCTGGATCAGTATGTGCAATGAATGGTTCATACATGTAGTTGTAAGACCACACATAATACAACAATATGAATAAACAGTAGGACAAAACAATCATTTTTAACCTCATATAAGGATGAAGATCATATCTCCTTAACCAAGCCACCGAAGTGTGAAATGTATGAAATACAGCATCCGCAATATGCAAACAAAATCGCCAAGTTCTAGGATAGACTTTTAACCGATGCAATTATAATCCATGAACCACTACAGTTACTAAATTATGGATGAAACAAATCTTTACCCGATACATGGAATCAACCAAATCTTAAAAGTCACTGACATGGAAATTGTAGGTCGCATTCAGCATCCGCAACATATCGGCAGAGCAGCAGATTGATGCCAAAACAACAAGAAAATACTGTAGTGTTGACAAAACCATAAATCAAACTCCAAATCGATAACACTTTGACAAAAATGCCCATTGACCTTCATACCACACAAAGAAATGGCATATTTTCCGACGAGATTTTGATGGAGACCATAAAACTGTCCATCATCTTCATCAACATTTATTTCCTTGGCCAAGGAAAAATCTGTCAGTCTCTCTGCTCCAGCGGTCTTTAAAGGAAAAGTTGGCAGAGGAATGACTGATGTCTTTCCATGGCATACGCTCACCTGGAGGGCCAGGCAAGATAAGAAATGAAAAACAAACTCTTTTTGAAACAACCACGTGAGTTTCTTTTTTAATGAATATGACAATCGTTTTTCATACTACGCTATCCATGAAAAATCATGAATTTTTTGTTCTATAAATAAGTGATTTATCCATTGCATATATTAATTAATAATTATCATTAATTACATTTTAATAGAATGAACAGCGAATTTGATGTATCACCATATGTTAAAAGTTGACCAGGCATAACATCGAAAAAATACATCAAAGATGGAATAAGATCTACAAATTTGTTCCAAATACTGATAAAAGATGCAACATGCAAGATTTGATGTTTTCTTCTCCAAATTGACAACTGGCTTTCATTAACTTGAATCAATGATAAAATAGTTAAGCTCCAAAGATGAAAAAAATGTCAAAATTTGTTTCAAATACTGGTGAAAGCACACACCATATGCTAGATTGGATGTGTTATTCTCTGAATTGATATATGAACTAATGAGAAAAAAATTGAACTGGTAAAAACGAATTCCTTCTCATAATACCCTAGAAAAATCCCAATAATCTGACACAGACATGGAATTACTATAAACAATTGTAAAAATATTGAAGGAAAATAAGTAAAAAAAAAAGTTGTATAAGTTGGAATATTATGTTTCACAATACTGATACAACTTACTTATTCAGTAAAAACACACGAATGGTTGGTCATGGTACTGTAACTCATCACAATGGTAAAATAATCCAAATCCAAAGTTAAAACCCTTACAAAATTTTTCAAATTTAATTCAAGCATTTCAACTAGATTTCAAAAATGCTCAACATCTTTGAACCGACATATTCTATCTTCCCTTGACGAGAATGTCATAAGGGTGAAAATTATCAATATAATAACAACCTCAGATAAATATTTGTGTTTCAGGTAATTCCAAAAAAATTCCTTCAAACAATAAACTGACGAAAGTATAACTTCAAATATTGTATACCGCGAAAACTTCAGCACAATCAAATATTTGCCCTTAACTGGTAAAACACAGATTCGCCCAGGGTTAATTTAGCCCTTGTGGCGTACTAATATTCACCGTCATGATAAATTTGCTATCATTACAGAGAGTGAAAATGGCAAAAGTGCAACTGCAGTGACAACTTTCTGGTATATACTATCCAAACTTTTGAAAGACTTTCAATTTATTACAAATCATAAATAATCACTATTGAGCAATTTCCTTCAATCAAGATAAAATTGTTCTCTTTAACTTCTAGTGCAGGCCACCATCTTGCAGCAATGTAAGGTCAGTCTGCTGGTCACAACGTTGTATATCCCATCCATGGATTTCTGCAAAATATGGAAACAATTGCAAATTCACTTTCAAATGAGAATATATTCTTTACTTAAGCATATGTAAAAAAAAGTCTTCCTTATACATATTTCCAACTTTTCTTTGATACCTTTTTCACTACATATAACACAAACAGACAAACTGTAAGATCACCTATTTCATCGAAATTTTAATAGATTAGCACACTGATTAATAGGTGCATTCACACAATGTATTATTGAAAACTAAATATAGAAATTTCAATTAATGCAATCATAAGTTAGCACAATGTTTAAAGTGCAAAAAATAGCTAAAACATTTATGCTTGCAGACCTGTAAGTAAGCAAATTATTTTACCATGAAATACCATTTGAAAATTGTCCACTAGATGCAGTACTTGCAACTACTGGTAATGAGCTAGAACAAGTTAACAGACAATACAGCTTGGAATAAGATAGTAAGGCCAAAACAGAATAATGTATGTTTCAGGTATTAAAACATGACTGAAAAAATGTATAGTAGGTCGGTAGGAAATCTTTTTTTTTGAGAAATTAAGAGAGCAAAATATCTCCAAACAAAATAATTCAGACCAATTGTATTAATTTTTCATCATATTTTTATGTCTTTCATATCATACTATGGTATTTAAATTTGGTTTTGATACCACCCTATGAATTGAGAGGGTGTAATAAAGATGCTCCAGATATTTAGTGCATTCAATTGGATGTTTAAGCGCGATACAATTGTTAGGGTCGGAGGTAAAAGCTAAGGTCGATCAGGGTACCTGAAACATACCTTTCTTTGGGCCTAAGTATTATATAAGGACAAAGTACTAACCTTTAACCTTTGAGACTTTCCACTTTTGTAACATACTTTCCCTTTGCATCCTCCTGCGACGTTCCTGTACAATAAGTAAAGATGCATAATGTTATCAGAAATAAAGTCAAAGACCTTACATTATAGTTCATGTTACTAAATCATACAGCATTAGATCCATGTAGAGGAAAACAACTGGAGTGGAGGACCAATAGACGCTCAGACACCTTAACCACTTGACCACCGTGACCCACTTACGGAGTATTTAAGTATTAAGTGAAAAAAATATTGTGGCTGTAATCTGTCTTGATACTTATTGAAGTAGATAAAGAAATCTGTAAAGTGTCCCAAGCATATAACATTTTCTTGTCTACACCATCTTAAAATTTTCAAACATTTCCCTAAAGTTTATGTGATTTAGCATTGCTGCAAGCCTCAAAAGTCAGCAAGAGTGTGTCAATGTTTTCACCAAAACTTTCTTAGCATTTTCCATCTTATTCACTTATATCCGACTCAGTAATAATCTAAGTGAAAGTAGAATTATAAAAATAAGAACATATAAAAATATTTGCCTGTTCTGTGGCTATTCAGCTTATTTTTCTGATCCAGACATTTATTTAACTGACAAAAAAAACACAGCATAAAATGCTTGAAATGAATAATGATTCTTTTTTTGCAATTATTCAAATGTTTTATGATAGATAAAACGTTTTCTGTAATACCAGCTCGAGATGCTGTTGTGTGTGGGCTTGGGTTTGGTTACCTTTTTTTTTTACCCCTACCCTGTACGACAGAAAATGGTCATAGTGCTAGCAATTATACAAAATCATTTCATTGAAATAACAAATTAAACAAATAATGCTATAATTCCATCTTCACAAAAACAACATCCGTTTCTTAGAAATAAAACATCTAGCCCATAAATCTAGCTTCAACAGAAACAACATCCACCTAGCTAGGGCATATTACATTGACATTGGTGAAAATACCTTTATTTCCATTCCATGCATCCCATTTCGCTTTTCCTTTAAAATCTAGCATACCAGGTCTGTCTGAAAATTAAAAATTATATATACATGCATATGAAAGATCAAACAAAAGCTACAGCTATTCAAAATAGTTATCTATACATGTATACATATGTATCTATAGATAAAATAAGAGTCGTCTGAAGAATCTGTTAAAATAAAATAAGGCTCTGAAGAATCTAATGAAATAAAATAAGGCTCTGAAAATCTCCTTGATGAGATGAAAGTGCTAATGACATGTGGTTGAGATTTTTTTCTTTTTATAGTATTTCTTCTTCCGTAAGGATCAATTTACTGCTGTTATAAGATACATATGTATATATATATGTAAGTCTATTTGTATCAGCAGTTAATGTTTTCAACGCCTCTGCTAGCTAGGTCAAACCGGGACCTCTGGTTTACTATCTAGCTAGTCTGACGCTCTATCAAATGAGCTAGTAAGAAATCTCCCTAACAGAGTCGGTAGGAATCGTTTAATATTTACAAAGGTGATATACTCCCCGTCCAGACAGACCCGTCACACCTGGTGTTTCCAGGGCTAACAGTGATACAAGTGATCTCGAGCATGGCAGCTTTGAAGTATTTCTGCCAATATCTCCAAGTACTTTAAATTTATAGGCGGGTGCCAAATGAAATGAAACAGTGATCATTATTTTTCAATGCCTCCGCCAGGGATTGAACCCAAGATCTCTGGTAACCTTGTCTGACTGAATGAAATGAAGTGAAACAAATTATTTTGTCGCTGAGAAGGTAATTGCGGCTCGTATTTTACTGGAGTAAACAACAAAAATTGTCAACGGTAATACCTACTTGTGTTACAATCTCCCACTGTAGACCTAGCTAGGTAGGAATTCGAAGAGGCTAGTATTTAAGGGATACCCGGTATGAACAACAGTTGCCAACAGTAATACCTACCTGTATTTCAATCTCCCACTGTAGCCCTAGGTAGGAAGAGGCTAGTATTTTACTGGGGTGATTAATCTCCCACTGTAGCACTAGGTAGGAAGAAGCTAGTATTTTACGTGGATAAACACCTGTTGTCAGCAGTAACACCTACCTGTGTTACAATCTCCCACTGTGGCCCTAGGTAGGAAGAGGTTAGTATTTTACTGGGGTGATTAATCTCCCACTGTAGCCCTTGGTAGGAAGAGGCTAGTATTTTACTGGGGTGATTAATCTCCAACTGTAGCCCTAGGTAGGAAGAGGCTAGTATTTTACCGGGGTGATTAATCTCCAACTGTAGCACTAGGTAGGAAGAGGCTAGTATTTTACTGGGGTGATTAATCTCCAACTGTAGCCCTAGGCAGGAAGAGGCTAGTATTTTACGTGGATAAACACCAGTTGTCAGCAGTAACACCTACCTGTGTTACAATCTCCCACTGTAGCCTGTTTGTACAGACCGTACAGCACTAACAAGTCAGCGTCTGATGGTCTTTGGGACAGGTTCTTGGCATCTTCTGCAGCTTTTTCAAAGTCCTGCAAAAGTTGTTAAAATGTCTATGATTGAATACTTATAATTAGCATTAATTGGAAATTCTTGAATCTTCAATATAGACATTTACCCACCAGTTTAGTCAATGTGGCAATTCATGAACACCTTCACTTATTGATGTTGACAATGTGTTCACACCTACACTTATCAATGTTGACAATATGTTAACACCTTCACTTATTGATGTTGACAATGTGTCAAAACCTACACTGGTCAATGTTGACGATGTGTTAACACCTTCACCAACTATTGTTGACAATGTCTTAACATCTTCACTTATTGATGTTGACAATGTGTCAAAACCTACACTGGTCAATGTTGACGATGTGTTAACACCTTCACCAACTATTGTTGACAATGTCTTAACATCTTCACTTATTGATGTTGACAATGTTTTAACATCTTCACCTATTGATGTTGACAATGTGTTTACACCTTCACTTATTGATGTGAACAATGTGTTAACATCTACACTTATTGATGTTGACAATGTTTTAACACCTATACTTATTGATGTGAACAATGTGTTAACACCTATACTTATTGATGTGAACAATGTGTTAACATCTACACTTATTGATGTGAACAACGTGTTAACACCTATACTTATTGATTTGAATAATTTGTTAACATCTATACTTATTGATGTGAACAATGTGTTAACACCTTCACTTATTAGTGTGAACAATGTGTTAACACCTTCACTTATTGATGTGAACAATGTGTTAACGTCTACACTTATTGATGTGAACAATGTGTTTACACAGGTGTACACTTGTTGTTGACTTTCAGTTATAGATATGTATTGCAAGTTTGCATTAGGATAAATGTTTATTGTATAAATACACTGTAAGGACACATTTCATGTGATCAACATATTCAAATCCATGGCTGGACAATATGGTAGCCTGCTTTGTCTGCATCTATTAAAATTTCCAGCTGTACTATATAGCTAGTGGTTTTGAAATATGCTAGCCTGATTGACTAGCCAAAATTTGTTATTATTTATCATGTTAAATAAAATATATATATATTGAATTGGAGTAGTTGATATTGCACAATTGAAAACTACTAGACTGACTCACCAGTGAACTTTATAATTGATTTCTAGTCCTGCATATTTTGTGTATCATAATTAATGAAACATGGTGGAACTTGGTATTCTGTATTAAAGTATCAATTCACCATTTTCCAAACATTCCTACACTATATAGATGTTTTCTTCCTTTCTGATATACTGACCCTTTCAAAAGGACCATTTTATCTGAATTTCTGATTTTGTTTCCCCATCAAAATATACCTTTAGGACAATCATGTCACTTACAAAAACAAAAAAAGTCAAATCTGTATTTATTTTTGATAAATGAAAACAAGGTTACCGCGAGCGGTATATAATACGCCCGTCACACATTGAATGAGCAGTTGTTTGTATGATTGAAATATATGAAGTATTTGTGAGTAATTGATATTAAAAGAGAAATCATTCAACATAACTGGTAGATCAATGAGTGCAATACAACATCATGGAACGCATGCATCGCATTAATGAAACCAAGGGTAATAACTCCAGTAATTA